TCTTTTAACCAGTTATATTGTATTCCACTCTGATCATGACAATGATTAGCATGTGATAAATTGTCAGTGTAACTGATTTAGTGTTTATGATATAAGCTTGTGCCACAATTTTACAATATTTTCTTGATATTTAAAGAATTTTTTTTTCCAAAAACATTAGTTTGAAGAAATGTGACCAATTAACTGTGAATCATGCAAAGCAATGTCACTTTTCATGCTTCTGATTTATCTCTTTTTGTTAGCCTATACCAAACCATTCTTTTGACCAGTTACATTGTTTTCTGCTCCGATCATGACAATGATTAGCATGCGCTAAAATGGTAGTTTAACTGATTTACTGTTTATGATATAACCTTGTATCTCAATTTTACAATATTTTCTAAATATTTAGATTTTTTTTTCAAAAACATTAGTTTGAGGAAATGTGACAAATTTACTGTGAATTATGAAAGCAGATGTATCTTTTTGTTAACCAATACCAAATCATGCTTTTGACCAGTTGTTTTTAACTCCGCACCGATCATAACAATGATTAGCATGTGATAAAATGTCAGTGTAACTGATTTAGTGTTTATGACATAACCTTGGGCCGCTATTTTACAATATTTTTTATTTCTTTAAAGATTTTTTTTTTCAAAAACATTAGTTTGAGAAATCATGAAAGCAGATGTCACTTCTCATCCTTCTGATTTATCCCTTCTTGTTAACCAATACTAAATCATTCTTTTGACCAGTTATATTGAATCCCTCTCCGATTGTAACAATGATTAGCATGTGATAAATAGTTAGTGTAACTGATTTAGTGTTTATGATACAACCTTGTACCACAATTTTACGATATTTTTAAATATTTTTTATTTTAATTTCAAAAACATTAGTTTGATTAAATAAGACAAATTTACTGTCATGAAAGCACTTGTCACACTTCTCATTTATTTATTTTTGTTCAACCAACCAGAAATCTTTCTTTGGATCAGTTATTTCAGTGTATTAACCAATCAAAACAATATGTTGTAACTACTTGTTGCCAGTAGGATTTGTAATAATTCATCAAAACACTCAACAGCTTAATGGAATTAGTGATTGAAGTAGTGTCACGCTATACTGAAAAAAAATTGTGATTGTTGATGAACCGACAATTTAAAAAATTAAATTAAAAAAATTAGTGTAATAATTGAAGACTGATTTAAACAAAATCAATTATTTTATTTCAATAATGATTGTGTTGACATAGATTATTTTCTATCAATATCTTCGTTGGGTTTTTCGGCTTTTTCCTTATTAAAACTCTCGACGTGTTAAGCAATGTTTCTGAAAGATTGTAAAAAAGTAAATTGTCGACTTACCCAGAAGAAATCAAAAAGCATGTTGGACGAAGCGAGATGGAAATTTGTTGTTTTTGTTGGACGACTCTCTGACATCGGTCATAAGGTGACTTACAGGATTCGAATGCGAACGAGACACCAATTAGAAAGATAGAAAACTAGACGATTTAACTATGTAAAAAGGATAATTCCAGATAGATCCGTTATAAAAAAAACCGTACAACTCGTTAAACCGACATTACCTGGAAAAGAAAATTGAATTAACAAAGGGGCGAATCCTCTAATCCAATCGAGTGAGGAGCGTGTTCTACTTACATGATTAATAAAAAAAACCTTATCGACAATCCACCGAGGTCGTTCGACGAAGACTGAGAGACTTTCGAGAAAGTCAATTCAAAATTATCACATTGACTTTTTAACGAAAACTACTTGAGACTACATCCGAAAGTGGAATTTGTTTGTAATCAATTCTGAGGATGTTGTATAACTCATAACCTTTTCGGATCATAACATCGCTCCGATCCTGTGCACGTTCGCCAACTGGCGGACCGCCGTCGATTCGAACTTCCTTTTGGACTCGATCGGCCGATTTCGTAAAGTGTCCATTTAACCAGTGCGCACAGCCAGGAGGACGTCGCGAACTGAAAAGTGGGGAATCAAACACCTCTGATCGGATTATGATCAATTGGGAGTTTTTGTCATTTTCATTTCCTTTGAGACGGGGTACCGACTCGGCCGATCCAGGCCAATGTTTCGCGCCCGAATCGGGAAAAATATCAAACGTTATGACAAAACGTCAATCGTCTTCTACAACTTGATGATTGTGGTTTAGCGTTGATTTTAGCATAAGCGTTGATACTGATCATAATCGCGGCTATCGGCTCAGAATCGATCTGCGGGCATAGACTCGCATAACGTGCTGCTTGCACGGCTGGGCGCCACATCGCCATCAGACGTCCCTTACCAGAAACAATAAAGTTGGGTTCACCAATAAGTTTGTTCGGACAAAAACATTTATTGAAGTACACTGATAAACAAATTTAACGCACCAATCAATTGATTTAGTTTAAAATTAAATCCATTATCTTTCCACATTATCATAGTCAAAATAATGCTTTTACTTCCTTTTGTACTGATTACTCCAATTGCACAAAAAGTAGCATTATGCCATTTCATTCTGTTACGCCTAAAGATCACTATTTATCTTTTTCCTTAGTTTGCATTTGATATTCTTATATTTTCGCTGACTTCTGGAAACGTTCTTACATTTTCCCTGTATTCCTTAAGTGGTGCCTTTCTTGGAGTGGTTACTGATTTGAGGGTGGTCTTTAAAAAGATGTGTACCTTTGAGGATCATTATTCATACATGATGAATTGAACAAAAAGAAACCCTGGTTTCATTAAACTTATGACATCTGACTTAACAAGTCTATATACAATAAAAATATTTCATCAGTCTTTGGTTAGGAGTATTTTTGAATATGGCGATTTTATATTGCTTAGGTGGTGCCTCTCTTGGGGAGGTCTCGGTGATTACTGATTTGGGGGTGGTCTTTAAGTGTACCTTTGAGGATCATTATTCATACATGATGACTTGAACATAAAGAAACCCTGGTTTCATTAAACATATCTGACTTCACAAGTGTTTAGGCAATGAAAATATTTCATCGGTCTTTGGTTAGGAGTATTTCTGAATACGGTGATTTTAAATTGCTTAGGTGGTGCCACTCTTGGGGAGGTCTCTGTGGTTACAGATTTGGGGGTGATCTTTAAGTGTACCTTTGAGGATCATTACTCATACATGATGACTTGAACATAAAGAAACCCTGGTTTCATTAAACTTATATCTGACTTAACAAGTGTTTATGCAATAAAAGTATTTTATCAGTCCTTGGTTAGGAGTATTTCTGAATATGGTGATTTTATATTGCTTAAGTGGTATAGATACCATAGTTAACCATGGGGAGGTCTCCGTGGTTACTAATTTCAGGGTGGTCTTTAAAAATAAGTGTACCTTTGAGGATCATTATTCATACATGATGAATAGAACGTAAAGAAACTCTGGTTTCATTAAACTTATGACATCTGACAAGTGTTTAGGCATAAAAAATATTTTATCAGTATTTGGTTAGGAGTATTTCTGAATACAATGCTTTTATACTGCTTATATGGTTTCCATCTTGGGGAAGTCTCCATGATTACTGAATCGGGGGTGGTCTTTAAAAATAAGTGTACCTTGGAGGATCATTATTCATACATGATGAATATAACGTAAAGAAACTTTGGTTTCATTAAACATCTGACTTAACAAATGTATATACAATAAAAGTATTGTATCTGTTTTCGGTTGGTATTTTTGAATATTGTGATTTAATTTGTTCACCTAACTATAAGACCAATTCAAATGATTTAGAGAAAAGTTACCAAATATCTGTTTAAATTTGTCCATAACTTTACTGGTATTCCACAGCCCTAGACGCATTGAATAGAGTTTTTGGTCACTTGGCTACTTTTTCACTATTCAGATGAAATATTTTTGTTTCATAGCTGCTACAGAAATTCTATCACAACTCAGCTTAAGGGTGCCTAGCTGTTGTTTGCAAGTGACAACTGTTTTGACATTTCATCTTGCTTATAGAATTGACCATTCTTTTTAATGTCAAGCATTGATCCTTTTGTCGACAGTCGTGGCCTTTAAACAAAATTTTTTTGTTTTTAAGATAGATGTTTCCCTAGAACTGTGTTGAATTTTAATCTTTGATTTTCCTTATTTCTATTTACACGTGTATTTGTCACTCTTTATACACACTACAATTAATTACGGTTTTTTTAGTTGAGATGAAAAAAAGCTAATGGCACGAGGGATTCGAACCCACGACCTTCGGCTAGATACGCCGCTACTCTACCACTTGAGCTATCGTGACCTCGATCAACTCTGACATCAACTCCCCATCTCAACCCCACCTTATGAGTTTTCCCTCCTTTTGCCATTTTTCTAATGTCATGTGGTCAAGCACGAAAATAGTGAATTTATACACACTGTTTTTTCTTAATGTATTATTATTATTATATTTTGACTGCTCTATTTTGGGGCTGCTTCCCTGTTTGAACTGTGTAATACATGAATCAAACATCTCTTTCAATGGCTCATCAGGCATTTGTGTGTATGACAGTCAGGGTGATAACATTATTAGAAGGATACAGCCAGTACAAAGTCGCGTTTGGAGACTGAGTGTAAATCACTATGTTAGGTAGGATTCTTTGGCACTTCAGAGAAACAGAGATTCATCCGTCGTCAGTCTTCGAAACCACAGTATTACGGGAAAGACGTCCGAATTGATAAGATTCCGGGTAACATGCCATTATTCTTTTTCTTTATCAAGACGTCCCATAAATAAAGCTGCTGTGTCCACTAACTAGCATTTGTTGAGATTTGGCACCTAATTGTAGTTAAAACGCAGAAACTGAAAATCATAATAAAATAGGCTTAAAATGACTTACAATTCTTTTTTTTATGTTGAGCCCATTTTTGAGCTTGATAAGTTGAAGCAAAACATTTCTTTTGACGTTTACATGGTGTTCATATAAGAATGTTTTAAAGGATTGAAAATGTAGGAATAAACCTGAGGAAAGCCGGACTAATAAATCAATATACATAACACTAAAAAGCCAAAATATTATTATTCCTTTATATTCCTCAATGTTGTTCACAAATTGCTACACAAATGTTTTTGATTAGAAAACCTCTACCATAATACACATTACAGCTAAAAAGTTATATCTAACAAATTATGTTATTTTAAAAATATGTTTTTTTGAATTACAAAATAATGATAATAATTTGTATTTCATAATCAAAAACAATTTATGATCTATGTATGTTTATATATTTCAAATCGGTTACAAATTCAATAAACCCAAGAGTACAAATTAGGCAAAATAACAAAGACCAATGAATCCAAGAATGATGTTTATTAAAATATGATGGTGTGTTAGTATTCTCTATAGGTTAACAAAAACAAAATAATAAAAAAATCATTATGTCACCACACACAATATATTAAAAAAGTATCACATGGTTGGGATTATTACTTTACTAACTGAATAAGTAGTCTACAGAGAAGAAAGGAAACAAATAAACAGAATATAAATGCTTAGTGCAGAAAAAGATACATTTTTCTTAATTAAAATCATCCAAAATTGGAATAATAAAAATAATTGAAAGAAAATGTCTGCTAAAGGTTTTTTTTTGTGTTTGCTTAATTTCCAGCCTAAATTTAAATGCAGCAATTTAACTTAGTTTTGCGTATTCTTATGAAAGTTGTCCACAATCGGCAACAGTGATAACTTTTGAAGTTTTTCCACTTTGAGATCCATAGGACTCGAGGGTCTTAACAACATCCATACCTTCAACGACACTCCCAAAGACAACATGCCTGTTGTCCAGCCAGGCAGTCTTTGCAGTTGTTATAAAAAACTGACTGCCGTTGGTGTTGGCTCCAGCATTAGCCATAGACAAGATGCCTGGAAGAAACAAAAAAAGTTAAAAACATAATTTTATTTTAAAATGGTTTAGAAATTTTTATTGTTGATAGTTGAATATACCAGGTCCAGTGTGCTTAAGTTGGAAATTCTCATCGTTGAATTGACCTCCGTAGATTGATTTTCCACCGGTACCATTGTGTTTGGTAAAATCACCTCCTTGGCACATGAAGTTAGGGATTACACGGTGAAAAGTTGAGCCTTTGTAACCAAAACCTTTCTCTCCAGTACAAAGAGCACGGAAATTCTCTGCAGTCTTGGGCACTACATCACTTCGGAGCTGTCAACAATACATTTAAATTATTTTTTCATAAAAGGTGAGTATATTAACTGTAATTATAAATTTTGGTTAAAAAGAAACATGGAGAACAAGCCATTAGTGACTAAATGACAAACTCATGTGTAGCATTTTTACAAAAGTTAAGATTTTTATATAATTAAGATGTGAGAGAGAAAATAGGTTTTTATGTTATTTCACAAGGAATACAAAATGTCATGAACAAGATTACCGGCACACTATCACAGAGTAGGCTTGACATTTGTATCTAATTGATCACAAACTAATAAATACACATATATTATTTACTTATATATGCTACAACAAACTATATTTTCTAAGTTGTCATAGTAGTTTTGACAAATGTCATATAATGTATTGACACATATTAAATTTTATTTTTAAAATATGCCACCCGTACATTAGATCATTGATGTATTTCTCGTGACAACTAATTTTATTCTAATAATAAAATAGTGCTTGTGAGAAAATGTTATGGCCAGGAAACAAATTACAGATGATAAATATATACATATATTTTTTAAATGTTAATTAATGTATCAACACAATTCAAATTTTATTTAAACAAATATGCCACCTGTGCGTTAGATCTATGATATATTTCTTGTAACTAATTTTATTCTAGTAATAACAGAGTGCTTATGAGCAAATTAATTCTAATATAAATGAGCAAATTCAACATGAGCAGAGAACAAAATACATTTCATAAACACACAATTTTTTGTATTGTGAAATTATTTACATATTTTAAATTTTTTTTTTTAAATGTGCCACTTTTCGTGTATTATGTTTGATCAGAAGTTCACACGTCATTGAACTTTTTTAATGGGAGTGAAACAGTAAAATCGTGAATATTGAACTTTCACCCAGTTCTATAACGTGCTCAAAGGAGGTGTAACAAAGACCACAAAAATCATGCTGATATAAATAAACTACAACAGTCATAAATTTTGGTACAATTATAGCAAGTATTGATCCAATGAAGTGAATCAATTTTTTCTTCCTACAGAGATTTGATGATCAAATTGTATATATTTATAAACGTGCTGGGTGAGTTGAGAGTCAATAAACCCAACAATTAAAAAAAATATGTAAAAAAATTAATTTATAGGATGCATTTTCAGAAATTATTGCAAAGAATGTTGGATCAGACATCCCTAAGAAATTTTCACTCAGCAACCACTGACCATGGGTAGGGTTCAACCATTTCTGACTTAGACCATGTTAATGCCAATGGAAATCGGACAGGAGGTATTCATCATTCCCAACATTTTAACAAAAGGCATATACTTTCTTCTTTTTTTTTATAAGAAATATTTCTAAAGGTTGAGAGGATTGTAATTCAGCAACCATAACTGGATTTATCCCTTTTGGGTTTAAAAATGCCTAACTATCTATATCAATGCAAGTAGAAATAATGAAGAGGTGACAGAGGAAAACATGATTTTTTAATTTACAATACAACTGTTTTAGCTACTTGTTCACCAAGGCGAATCTGTATGAAAAATAATTGGTAAAACTACTTTTAAAACACAAATTTATAATTATATTCATCATTCCCACCATTTTAATATAAAAGGCAAAATATACTTTCTTCTCTTTTTTTTTATAAGAAAAAAGGTGGACAGGATTGTAATTCAGCATCCATAACTGGATTTATCCTTTTTGGGTTTATAAATGCCTCACTATCTGTAGCAATGCAAGTAGAAATAATGAATAGGAGTCAGAAGAAAACATGATTTTTTAAATTTACAATACAACCGTTTTAGCTACTTGATCACCAGTGTGAATCAGTATGAAAAATAAACAAAAGGCAAAATATACTTTCTTCTTTCTTTTTTTTTATAAGAAATATTTCTAAAGGTTGAGAGGATTGTAATTCAGCATCCATAACTGGATTTATCCCTTTTAGATTTAAAAATGCCTCACTATCTATAGTAACGCAAGTAGAAATAATGAAGAGGTGTCAGAGGAAAACATGATGTTTTAATTTACAATACAACTGTTTTAGCTACTTGTTCACCAAGGCGAATCTGTATGAAAAATAATTGGTAAAACTACTTTTAAAACACAAAATTACCATTATATTCATCATTCCCAACATTTTAACAAAAGGCAAAATATACTTTCTTCTTTCTTTTATAAGAAATATTTAAGGTGGACAGGATTGTAATTCAACATCCGTAACTCGATACATCCTTTTTGGGTTTAAAAATGCCTCACTATCTGTAGCAATGCAAGGAGAAATAATGAATAGTGTCAGAGGAAAACATGATTTTTTACAATACAACCGTTTTAGCTACTTGATCACCAGTGCGAATCTGTATGAAAAATAATTGGTAAAACGACTTTTAAAACACAAATTTATAAGTAATTGTTTTTCTCAAGAATCACAGTTTTGATCGTGTTATTAAACTAGATAAGAAACATGTTTTACTTGTTACAACTTTGTTCATTTGCACGTACAAAAATTTAGCAAATAATGATTTTTTAAAATATATATAATCTACTTTATAGAATGCATTTTCATATTTTAGTACAAAGAATGTTGGATCAGACTTCCCTAAGGAATTTTCACTCACCAACCACTGACCATGGGCTGGGTGCAACCATTTCTGGCTTAGACCATGTTAATGCCAATGGAAATCGGACAGGAGGTATTCATCATTCCCAACATTTTAACAAAAGGCATATACTTTTTTTTTTTTTATAAGAAATATTTCTAAAGGTTGAGAGGATTGTAATTCAGCATCCATAACTGGATTTATCCCTTTTGGATTTAAAAATTCCTCACTATCTATAGTAACGCAAGTAGAAATAATGAATAGGTGTCGGAGGAAAACATGATTTTTTAATTTACAATACAACTGTTTAAGCTACGTGTTCACCAAGGCGAATTTTTATGAAAAATAATTGGTAAAACTACTTTTAAAACACAAATTTATAAGTAATTATTTTTCTCAAGAAGCAAAGAGTTGAGCATGTTATTAAACTAGATAAGAAACAAGTTTTACTTGTTACAACTTTGTTCATTTGCACGTACAAAAATTTAGCAAATAATGATTTTTTAAAATATATATAAACTACTTTATAGAATGCATTTTCATATTTTAGTACAAAGAATGTTGGATCAGACTTCCCTAAGGAATTTTCACTCACCAACCACTGACCATGGGCTGGGTGCAACCATTTCTGGCTTAGACCATGCTAATGCCAATGGAAATCGGACAGGAGGTATTCATCATTCCCAACATTTTAACAAAACGCAAAATATACTTTCTTCCTTTTTTTTTTATAAGAAATATTTCTAAATGTTGACAACATTGTAATTCAGCATCCATATGTCATCCCTTTTGGATTTAAAAATGCCTCACAATCTATATCAATGCAATTAGAAATTGAACCACGTTAATGCCAATGGATATCATTCCCATCATGTGAAATTGGATTGATCCTTTAAGCAAACATTAAGTTTTCTTGAGAAAAATTTAACGCCATATCTTGTTAGATGTTAACTCATGTCATATTTTTCACACAACTATATAAATCTTAGTAAATCTTGTCATATTTTTCACACTACTATATAAATCTTACTAAATCACACTTCCATCATAGGAATCGCCACGCAGCATTCATTTGATGATGGTTTGATAGTTCCAACCATTTCTGACTTAAAACATGTTAATCAATTTTAAGTTGTACACCACACAGCATTTTTATGTATATAATAATCTAATATTCTATAGTGTTAACTATTTTGCCCAAAAGTTTAAAAATTATAAATAACTGTTAATACTACATTAAAATAAACTAATGTTTAGATCCCAAGGGTAAAACATTTATATTTACTATGTTTGAGTAAATTTCAACTAAAAGCAAGTGCATATTACTTTCTTTTAGTACAATGTACCTACAAGTGCCGGATCAGACTTCGTGATAGGAAATGTCACTCAGCATCCACTGATCATGGTTAGGGTTCAACCATTTCTGGCTTAAACCATGTTAATTCCAGCGGAAATCGGACAGGAAGTTTTCATCATTCCAAACATATTCTGGTTAACAAATTTAACATTATACATATTGTCTTAGCTAATTTCATATGTTTATAGAATTTTGTAAACATAATTTTCATTTAAAAAAATTTAAATTCATAAACAAACAATTACTGATGATAGTGATATTTCAAAATGACTGGTATTAATATGCCGAAACATATTTAAACACATATTTGATATTGTATGTTAAATACAAAATAGAGTATGCCACGTTATACAATTATATTCTTCTAAAAACAGAAATTTCATAATAATAATAATATAATAGGTTTGGATGTTAGGGCGTGAAATGACCTTAGCCGTTAAAACGCCCTTAAAAATTAATAATAATAATAATAATAATCGTTCAAAATAAATTCTATCCCTTAGTTGTAAGCTTTACTTTTTTGGATTAGAAAATTCTAAAGGAACAGTTAGAAATCTTGCTCATAACCGTAAATATGACAACAATCATCAATAGAAGAATGATGAACCAATAATGCCACTCAAGACCCAGAAATATAAATATTTGTGTATTTAACGTGATCAAGTTGGGTTAGATATCTGTGCACAATTGTTCTTCAGGTCCTATGACCATGGTTTGGGTTTAACCTTTCTGGTTTAAACTATGTTAATGACAGTGAAAATCCAACAGGAAGTTTTTCATCATACCAAGTTGATTAATGACCCTGGTAACTACACTGTTAGTGTTTATAAAAAAATGTTGGGATAAAAATTTAATGAAAAAAATATTGCTTTTGCAATTTTTAAGGAAATTATTTTTTCAAATCTAAAATAAAATCAACAAAGAGTCTTAAATCAGTCCCCCACAATATACATATTTACTATTACATAATTAAACTTATGTTGGATCAGACTTCCCTGAGGATTTGTCACTCAGCAATCACTAACCATGGCTAGGGTTCAACCATGTCTGGCTTAAACCATGTTAACGCCAGTGGAAATCGGACAGGAAATTTTTCATCATTCCCAGCATTGAACTTTAAATTAACTTAGAGGTTGATACAATATTACAACAAATACCGTGCTAGAATGTCTCATGCAAGGTTCCCATAATAAACAAAACATGAAAATGAATAGGGTAATGACAGGAAATGCACAGAGGGGAGAATTGTAAAGAAGGGGGAGTTAAAAAGTTAATATCAATGAACCATTCCCTGAAATGATGGATATAAAAGCATATAGATCATTTCTTTGAATAGAAAAATCAATAAACATATACAACGTAAATGAAATATTGAAGTAGGAATTTTACCTTTTTTCAATTTGTTTATATTTATTATAGTATTTGTTCACTCATTTGCAAACTAACTGATAAAGCGTACAGATTTGGGAGAAAAAAATCATTTTATTTGGACTTGCAACTTGTCTATTTTTTTTTAGTACAAATCAATCAAAGGAGGAAATGTCTCAAAAGAAATGCACATATTCCATCAACTTCGTTAATAGGGGGAGGACTAATGGTAACTGAGTAGTCAGTATATTGTGGACGCTCAACTGAACCCCATATCAAGGGCTTGTTTCTCACCGTCACCCTTGGCGTTTTACTCGCTCTCTCCTTCACCCAAAGATACAATTACAAAATCCAATTAATAATGAATGAAGAAAAAAATTTTGTTTAGCATTTTTAACAATATTACCCTACATCTCATCAGGGGGTTAATTACCACCACGAAGAATTAACACAACATTCGGTGATCCTAACGGCTTATCAGAATCTCAATTTTTAACAAACTTTAAAAAAGCATAGGGAAATAAGCCTAATAAGGGAATCCAGATGGCTGAGTGGGTGAAAGTGTCACTCGATTAGTCACAGACATAGTGGGTTCAATTTCCAACAGATGGTTAAGCCCTTATGTGAAAAATAATTTTAAAACGTCAGCCAAGTTGATGAATTTACATTGAATATCATGATAAGACCAATTGAGGGGAGGAAAAAAACTAAAGTGCATCGTTGTGATTTTCCGTTATAGAATGGATGGTTAAGGATGGTTATAGAATGGACGAGCTATCTCGTTCATTGTAAAAATAACTCATAATTTGATCATACTTGAAACCAGTTTACAATACAGTAAATAAATTTTTATATATGTTAACTTCATGAGTCATTAATTATAGTTTCAAAGTCCACATCACGGGAATATATGCCTCGAGAGCTTGAAAAAAAAAGTTAATGATTTCTTTCTAACCGGCTCTTTACCGTAAAATTATATTTAAATTATCTCCAACATAATTAATATCCATCATCACTGCTATAATTTTATACTGGAAATCATGGGATAAGGCCAATTGGAAAGAAAACACTCAAGACCCTCATTGATTATTTATGACACAAACAAGTCATGATTTCAATGTGTAAAAATAACTCATTTTTGCGTTCAGTGTAATTTCATCATATTTGAAACCAGTTTTTTAATATCGTAAATAGATGTTCATATTTGTTAACGTTAAGTTAATTATAGTTTTAAAGTCCTGATCATGTGGATATATTCCCTGAAGTCTTGGCGAAAAAACTGAGCATTTTCTTTCCAGTCTATGATTTTAAATACATATAAAATTTACGATACACCAGAAACATCCTGGGCTTAACTTGTTTAAACTTACAATAAGAATAATATTAAAAATGATGTTAACATACCTATGTAATACTATTATTAAATGGATTTATATTTTTTCTTTAGAGAAGAAGTCTTTTTTTAAAAAGAGCTAAATTAGATTTTTTTAATAGAAATGTATTTGCTTAACAGAAAAACAAGGGAACAATTAAAAAGAAAAAAGAAACAAAGAAACAGATTAAATTATAGATGTAGTCATTTAAAGAGGTGGGGGAGAGGAACGCATGGCCTAGAACTCAAAAGACGAGAAGGGGAGGGGGATTAAAAGTTTTTTTTTTTAATTATATTAATTATTAACAAATATTTTTTTGTGTTAACGTTACAAATTATTCTATAGACGGCAGAGTTAAAAGTTATTTAAGGACTGAAAATAAAGAAATGGTTCGATAAGTTGAAAAAAAGGGGCAGGAAACAAATTAATGACAGGAATAACCATGGCACATGGCGTTGAAAATGTAAGAAGCCTAATTCTTGCGGGTTAAAAAATAATTTTCACTTAAAACAGTTAAAATGTTAATATTTTAAGAAATAATATGACAAATCGGTTAGTTTTATTGTGAAAGATTGAAGTTTGTTGGAAATAAGTGGTTTGGAAGGGAGTCGGCAAAGCGGGTCCGGCATCGAGTACCGACAGCCTCTCCCCGTCGGCCGATTAATACTATATTAAAATAAATGAATAAATAGTTTATACCTCCATAACAATCCGTCCGACGGGCTGGTTGTTGGCCTGCATGTCGAAATAGACCTTCGGTAGAGACATTTCTGCCTTTTTGCTGAAGTACTCTAGCGTGGAAGTGAGAGGCGAGCGTCGAACAAGAATCCGGTTGAGGCACTCGACAGACAAGGAATGTCGGGCGAGAAGGGCGGTCAAAACCATAACTAACGGACAACGGAAGTAGAGAGCGCTTCCACCCCTTTTTACCAATCTTATCCTTAACAAAAAAATATAAAAACACAAACAAACATATATTACAAATACAACTTGATACAGTTTACAAATAAGTAATTAGACCGGCTTTTATCGGTCAACAGTTAAAAAAGTAAAAATACCTGTTATATAAATAAACTTCGCGTTGGCGAGACCCACACTACCACGAGGTCTATCTAAACTCCCCCTCCATACATCAAAAACTATTTTTTTTTTTTTTTTAACTAATTTTGTACTATATTTAAACAAGATATATTTATCAATAAATATAACATTAAAAAATACACTGAAGCAATAATGACTAAGCATTTATGTAAATTGTCCAAACCTTTTATTACATGCCTCAACATAATATAACACTTTCTTTAAATAAAAATAAAAAAATGAACAAAACATTCTCATGTTTAAATTGATTTTAAAAAAATATAATTCTAACAAAGAATAAAATTTTTATGTAACAACAAATATTGATTGGAAAGTGAAAAAAGAATGACAGGATTTCCCGCCATGATTCAAAATTTCCATCGATTTCCATGTTTCAGAAACCAAATAAACAATAATAATATTAAAACTTGATTAAAACATTATAGTTATGATAAAATAAAAAATAAATAAAAAAAGTACTTTGAAATTTTCATATTTTTTATGTACTTGCTTTTTCAATACTATTAACACCGATATTTTTTTTTATAATTCAGGTATTTAATAAAAGATTATTTGTAGATCGTGAGATGCACTCTTGTGTGATGTGGGTTTAGAAAAACATTTCCTTTATCACTTGCCAAAGTTTCGATTTTTATTGAGATCATTTTCAAGGCCTGGGATATATAAACATTGTTTAAATTAATTGATCTTTTTTTGTAAGGTTTTAGTTGAAATGAAAAAGCTAGTGCTACGAGCGGTATTCGTAAAGCCGAAGGTCGTAAAAAAAATAATCATTTGAAAGAACTAATTTGGTCAATCAGACCACTAACTATAATATATTGTTTAAATTATTTCATTTAGCAAGAACTAATTTTGGCATTAGGTTTAATTTCAAACATTGGGAATTGAACCAGATTGATTTATTGATTTTTGAGCATGAAAGTCTTAATTTATAATAAAGATTTAAAGAGTTCTTGTTCATCGGCTGATTTTAGGTAAGTGGAACTCAGAATTATTAATATAATTTAATTATATAATATAATTCTACTATAGTATTTAATAATATAGTTATAATTATATATTATTATATAGCATAGTTAATAATATAGTATTTAATATTTAATTTAATTATATAATATAATTATACTATAGTATAATTTAAACAATGATTATAAATCCCAGGCCCTGAAGATGATCTCAATAAAAATCGAAACGTTGGCACAATAAAGAAAATGTTTTTCTAAACCTACCAGACCTCATCTCACAATCTTCAAATAATCATTAATTAACGGTCACTAAATACATTTAATAAAAGATTTGGTTAGTGGGAAAATAAAAATATCTCTCAAAAACAAAAAAATTAATTTAAAAAAATAAAAATTACTTTTGTGTATGAAAATAAAACATTATAAAACAAACTTTACAATATTTAATAGGGCGTATTACCTCTTCTTGCTCTTATTACACACTCTAAATTTCTCAGAGCGCTCATAATTATGCTTTTAACCATTTCTTGAGGAATTTCATCCATAAATCTCAATTAATGTAACTTTCAGCTCAGCTTAGGCTGTAGGAGGGTTATTTTTTGTTTTACCCAACGTCCCAGCTCTTCTCAAAGTACTCAATCGGGTTCAAATCACGAATATGGCCTGGGCGTCTTAGGATGTAAATGTTGACATTTCAAAGGTGGCGACAGTTGGCCTTTCATTATCATGCATAAACAAAAATTGCTTGCCAATAAATGGAGCAAATGGTACCACATATTCCTCAAGAATCTCTGTCAGTAGATTTCTGCATTAAGTGACCTAGGACATTTTTGCCTCCACTCCACATCATAACTGAACCATCTCCAAACGACCCTCTTCCGGCAATGTTGCATTGGCTGTAGAGCTCTGCAACTGCTTGATAAACTCGAAGACAACCATCTGGTGAATGAAGAGAAAACTAGAACTCGTCTGGAAACATAACATTCCTTCATGACTGTTTCTGCCCTATGTCAGTGCCCCTTCCAAACTCTAAGCAGTCCCGACGATAGTCCCTGGTAAACACTAGACTAGTTGCTGGCCTTATGGAATGAAGATTCACTTCTGCAAGTTTCCTTCTTAATTGATCATTACAGTATCTAATGCAGGATTGATAAGCAATTTGAAGGTGATGAGCAGATTGAGGGTCTAAAGAAAGTGAAAAAATAGCGCTACATAAGAGAATAAAGGAATTATTAGGGATTTAATAAAGAGAATTCTAGTTTTATGTGGAGTGCAAAAGCTAAGACAGCGAAAAGAATGGAGTCTTGGGTAGATTTTTTTCAATAACACATGGTCATGGTATGTAAGCTTGGAACTAAAAATAAAGCAGAGATTTTAATGGGATGGGATATTGGTTTATTGGAAATTAATAAAGATTGAGATTTGTTAGGGATTAAAATAATGCTGTTATTTCTTGACCGTTGGTTGAGAGAATGGAGATCACAGTTGAGCAGAGAGATAGTTTCAGAGATGTTGCTTGTCAGACATTGAATGTAAAGCTGAGTGTCATCAGCATAAAGAAGAAATTGGGGAGAAATTAAGAACTAATGAAGATCATTTAGAAACATGGAAAAGTGTAAAGGTCTAAAAATAGGGCCTTGGGCACACCAGCTAAAATTGAGAGAGAAGAGGAGAGGGAATTTGAAGCTTTAACTCTCTGAGTTCTGTCAGACAGATAGGAGGAAATGAGATTAGTAGCAGTAGAAGAAAAACCACAAAAATGTGTCAGTTCTTCAAATAAGCAAATTATGATTTACGGAACGAAATGCATTGGAAAAATCAAGTAGCACAATAACAGTACACTTATTGTCTTCAGTGCCTAAGCAAATATCATCTGAGATTTTGAGAAGGGCTGTCTCATGATTATGAAATTTTTGGATACCAGATTGAAAAGAAGATATAAGAGGATGGGAGTCAATATATAAGAATATTTGTTTAAATAAAATCTTCTCAAATGCTTTGGATAGTGGTAGAAGAAAACTAGTAGAGCAATAATCACTAGCAGGGGGTTTAGATTTCTTGGGTAATGAGACGAGATGAGGATTTCACAGCCAGCAACCAAACATCTTCAACAATTAATGAAGAATGGGGCATAATGTTGATAATAACTTTATTGTATAAATAAATTAATTATTCAGAAATCGTGAGATGCAGTCTGGTGTGATGTAGGTTTCAGAAAAACATTTTCTTTATCGTGCCAATGTTTCGATCTTTATTGAGATCATTTCAGGACCTGGGATTTACAAACATTGTTTACATTTAACAAATACATTTAGGATGTGGAAAAAAGTGAATTTATACAATGTAAAATATATTTTTTTTATATTCAATCAAAGTATTTCTACTCACTCAAAGTATTTGTCTTCTGTGTAATTGTGCCATTCTTGCGTGTCGTGTTGAGAGTGCCAGTGTGGTATTGTATACATAAACCTTACAGTGCACCGCATTTAGAAACAATTAGAAAGAAGAATAAAATAAGAAAAAATTACGTTTTGGATGGATAATCTCTGTATTATATTAAAATCAGAAATAATTTAAATTTGATATTGTATTAGACTATATATTTTTTCTAAATCATAAATCATTTATTATGTACGTAATAGAAGGAAAATATATATATATATAAAAAAATAAAAGTAAATGCTTTTTAAAATCAATGTTTTGTGTGTGTGTGTGTGTGTGTGTGTGTGTGTGTGTGTGTGTGTGTGTGTGTGTGTGTGTGTGTGTGTGTGTCAAGCATAAATATAGTGATTATTTGGATATTGTGAGATGTGGTCTTGTGTGATGTAATTTTAATACAAATTTTCTTTATTTTGTGTGGTGATTAGTGACTGTTAGTTGATGATTATTTAGAAATCATGAGATGCGTTCTTACACAAAGTGAGTAGAAATACTTTGATTGAATATAAAAAATATTTTTTGATAAATTCATTTTTTACCACATCCTGTATGTATTTGTTAAATTTAAACAATGTTTGTAAAGCCCAGGCCCTGAAGATGATCGAAATAAAGATTGAAACGTTGGCACGATAAAGAAAATGTTTTTCTGAAACCTACATCACACCAGACCGCATCTCACAATTTCTAAATAATAATTTTCTTTTTTGTGCCCACGTTTCAATCTTTATTTCGATCATCTTCAGGGCTGAGATTTATAAACATTGTTTAAATTTTACAAATACATGTAAGATGTGAAAAAATGAATTTGAAGGCATGAATCATTGTTTAATGATTTACACAGAAAAACACTCTTTGAGTGAGTACAAATACTTTGAATAAACCTAAAATTTCTATATTGTGTACATCATTGCATAAATTCATTTTCACATTTTAAATGTATTTATATAATCCAAACAATGTTTGTAAATCCCAGGCCCTGAAGATGATTGAAATAAAGATAGAAACATTGTTATCACCACTCATGATCACCAAAATTAATAATCACTAAATACTATACACGTAAATATAGTTTTCTGCATAGCAAAAGATAATAGTTTTAAATTCTATATAAAATAAATAATAAATTTCTTTGAAAATAATTATCTGCGTTGGCGGTTAGAATAGTTTGGTTAAGTTCTGCTTGAAGCGTCGCGCCTCTATGTCGAATGTCGAACCGTCTCTTTCTCATCCATAACCGTCATTCTGACTTTCTCCCTCCAAAAAACCCGTTTATCTCTATTCACTATTCAATAGATGGGACAAAACCGAATGTAAACCGATTGTTTCCGTACAAAATGTACATTAAATCCGTCATTATAGACGGCTTCAAATCTTACGGGACGCGTACCGAGATAAACGGGTTCGACAGGGAGTTCAACGCGATAACAGGCCTCAACGGGACCGGCAAATCTAACATATTGGATTCTATTTGCTTCGTCCTCGGAATTTCGAATCTGACCCACGTAAGTCTCGTGTGCAATCTGTCGTCTTCGACCTCTTATTCGAATTGTTCCAGGTGAGAGCGAGCTCCCTACAAGATTTGATATACAAAAGCGGCCAGGCCGGTGTCACTAAAGCTTCCGTTACTATTGTCTTTGACAACAAAGACACATCAAAAAGCCCTATTAATTATGAGCAATTCGAAGAGATAACTGTCACTAGACAGGTAGGTCTAACTGTCAACTCTGTTACTTATGATTATTTAGAGATCGTGAGATGTGAGATGCGGTGTGGTGTGATGTGGGTTTAAAAAAACATTTTCCTTATCTTGCCAACGTTTCGATCTTTATTGAGATCATTTTCACGGTCTGGTGTTTATGAACATACAAATCCATGCAAGTTGTTAAAATGAAGGATACAATGATATACACAATATGGAAATTGTAGGTTTTTTGTGTCATCAGAATCCTCTACGTTCCTAATGAGATATGTTACATCTGATATTTTTTTCTCTATCTTATAGGGACTTATGATTTTTCCTTCTCGAAGGTGGGATAATAGGTCATCTCAAAAAAACAACAACCATTTTTTCTTTCAATCGACAACGTTTCGGATTTATTTTAATACTTCCTCAGGTGAGCAGTGGTTAAAAGAGTGGTCATCAGTCATTAATGTTTTGTAACAGTTTACTTTAAAAAAAGGATTAAAATAAATCTGAAATGTTGTCGATTGAAAGAAAAACTGGTTGTTTTTTTAGATGACCTATTCCCACCTTTGAGAAGGAAAAATCATAAGTTAAACTGTTGAGGTCGAAATATAAGAAAATCTCATTGAATTTAAACGCCAGCTTTGCACTAAAATTGTGCGTCTTGTCAGATATATTGTACGCTTGCAATAGTACTTTGTCCCCTACATCGAATTTTACCTTTGTGCTTTTTATCGTCAAATGTTTTACGTAATGCTTTTGCTTTGCTTATATTTTTTATTGCAGTTTACCCCATTTCCTATGTTGGGATTTGATTGTTTGGGAACGTTACTTCCCACTGCAATTTAAATGGGGTATTTAACTGGCGCCCAAGAAAAAGCTGGGACGGCATAAATTGTGTACTGGAGCTTTTTGCTGTGTTTTGGGCCAATTGCAAATATTGTATTCCTTCGGATCATTTGTAATAATAATAATTATTATAATTTCAATTAATTAAGGTTTTTAGTTGGGATAAAAGTCAATGTCATGAGCGGGATTCGAACCCACGACCTTCAGCTAAGTACGTCGCTTACTACTCTACCACCTGAGCTGTCGTGACTTAAATCCACTCGGACACTAACTTCCCAACTCAACCCCAACTTTTGAATTTTCCCTCATTTTTGCCATTTTTCAAATGTGTAATCTATTTAATACTCGGCGACAATTGAAATGGCCACGGAGAGCTTTAGTGAAGATGTTTAACTTATTCAGTTCACTAGTTTTCGTGATCCGCTAAACCAATTAATATATTTCAATAAATTAAGGTTTTTAGTTGAGATAAAAAAGTCAATGTCACGAGCATGAAAAATGGCAAAAAAGAGGGAAAATTCAAAAGGTGGGGTTGAGATGGGAAGTTAGTGTCTGAGTGGTTCGAAGTCACGATAGCTCAGGTTGGAGAGTAGCAGCATAGCTAGCCGAAGGTTGTGGGTTCGAATCCCACTCGTGACATTGACTTTTTTATCTAAACTAAAAGCCATAATTAATTGAAATATATTAATTGGTCAAGCGGACCACGAAAACTAGTGAATTGAATAATAATAATCTTTTTTACGGCATACAATACCAATCACAACATACATTGTATGTATCTCTAACCATACATTTGTACATCATTATATATTATTACATACTTGCTTATGCAGCTTTTTCTTAAACACATGAATTGAGTTGGAAAATAGATCCACTTGCAAAGAATTTACAATTTCAGGATTTATCATGATCCTCAGCATAGTACACAATTATGGCTGTCTTTAAGTAGTATTCTTTCGGCTTTGCTCGGATTTGGGTAAAAACGTATTAAATACCGAGGTTTCATTGTGTGATTTATAAGCAAATTCCGATATTTTATTGAATGAAAGATAGTCGCATTATCCAAAACTACGCTTCCATCGAAAATGTTTGAATATTTTTTCTTGCAGAACATTTATTATAGTTTCTGCAGTAGGCTTTTGGATGGGTGATATAAAGACAAACCGTGAAAAATCGTCAATGGTCGCAAATATGTATGAGAAACCATTGCTCTTCGGTAATGGTCCTGCCAAATCTATGAACAGAATAAATAAAGAAAACTTAAAAAACTTCTCACCACCAAAGATTTCAAAGATCATGCAGTTATTTACTATACAAAATTTAAACAAAAATATATGTTAGTAACCACCTATTTTTTACAAAATAAAATTTTTCTTATTATTTAAATTAAAACGTAACTAAACTTTATTCCTTTTTTATTTTATTTTTTTTTCCAAGATGGGGAAATGGGAACACTCTTCTACCAGTTTGTCACCCTTTCTCCCCTGGATGTTGATCTCCACGTGTGGAGGCAGAAAGGGGTACAAAATAAAATAAAATGAATGAAAACCAAAAATACATTACAATTAATTAAGGTTTTTAGTTGAGATGAAAAAAAGGTCAATGGCACGAGCGGGATTCGAACCCACGATCTTCGGCTAGATCGCCGCTGCTCTACCACTTGAGCTATCGTGACCTCGATCCGCTCGGACATCAACTTCCCATCTCAACCCCACCTTTTGAATGGGTCCGCTTGGTAATTCCAATCCCACTCGTGCCATTGACTTTTTTTTCATCTCAACTAAAAACCTTAATTAACTGTAATGTATTAATAGGTCAAGTGGACCACGAAATTAGTGAATTTAATGATTAAAATTAAATACACTTCATTAAACCTCTCCGTGGCCATTTCATTTGTCGTCGAGAATCCAATCCGATTACACGACATTTGAAAAATGGCAAAAAGGAGGGAAAAATTCAAAAGGTGGGGTTGAGATGGGAAGTTGATGTCCGAGCGGATCGAGGTCACGATAGCTCAAGTGGTAGAGCAGCGGCGTATCTAGCCGAAGATCGTGGGTTCGAATCCCGCTCGTGCCATTGACTTTTTTCCATCTCAACTAAAAACCTTAATTAATTGTAATGTATTAATTGGTCAAGCGGACCACGAAATTAGTGAATGAACCAAAAATAAACTTAAACCAAATAAATATATTTTACCAATTTTACAATAGTGCCCTACATCAATATTATTTAAACAAAAATTTCTCTCACCTGATTTTCCCTCGTTCTCACTTTTAAACATTCAACCTTTAAGACGGCCTGAGCGCACCTGTCTTCGTTCGCCCAATCCTTCGGAGACCCTTTCGGTTTGAGTGGGGTTTCCACACGCTTACGGCGATTCCTTGGTCCATGACACTTTTTTTATACATTGAAGTTTTTTTTTATACAAGAAGTTGCATTTAATCATACCAATACATCGATGGCCAAACAAACAAGTATTATTTGGGGGAGGACTTTTTTTTGGAAGACATGGTGCATTGAATTTTGGTATACTTCAACATATTTTCTTTGTAGATCGTTGTGGCCGGCAAAAATCGTTATATGATCAATGGTTCTACTGTGACCAACAAGCTTGTAAACGATTTCTTCAATTCTGTCCAGTTGAATGTCAACAATCCACACTTTCTCATTATGCAAGGACGCATAACAAAGGTTTTAAATATGAAACCACCCGAGGTGAATTTTTCAACTAAAATACTTTGAGTTGCATACAATGAAAGAAATGTTAATCTGTTTCCTTTGTTTCAGATTTTGTCTATGATAGAGGAAGCTGCAGGCACCCGCATGTACGAAAACAAAAAGCTTGGTGCGCAAAAGACCATTGAGAAAAAGGACAATAAATTGAAAGAAATGAACGAGGTTTGGTTAAGGTTTATTCAAAGAGAATTTTAAAAAATAATAAAGCAAAGTAAATTTTAGATGGTCAACGAGCAAATAAATCCAAAAATGGAAAGACTGAAGAAAGAAAGAAACCAATATCTGGAATATCAAAAAATACAAAGAGATCTTGAACAGTACACTAGAATTTATGTAGCTTGGCAAGTAGTCAAAACTGAGGTAAAATTTATGGTCGTTAGTTTTTTTAAGTTTTAGTATTGCTTTATAATAATAATGAAAATACTTTATTAAGGGCTTGACTTTCATATGTATACAATCATAAATAACAGTTTACTTAATAGGAAGCATCTAATATAATAATTAATTAATTATAAAATTAGTAATATATCAGATTTACCTCTACATTTTTCTGAAAAATTTTGATTTCAAAACATTACAACTATAATCAAAATATTATGTGTATACATGTAGCTTAAATGCACAGAACTTAAAATTTATTCTAAACTCATTCAATGGAAGCTTTAGTTGTTTCATAGCTTGTGCTCCTGTGTGGGATATTAAAGTCCTATCTATACTCACCAGAATGATATAATAACAGTAGTAATTTATTTATTTTGTTATTTATAGAAATTCATTACAGACTCTAAAGAGCAAAGAGAAAATACATTAGCTAAAATCGAAGAAGCCAAAAAAACCATAGAAGATGGTAAAAACACAATCAAACAATTGGAAGAGAGTATTGAAGAGGGTCAACAGAAAAGGAACAAAGAAAGTGGGGGGAAACTGGAAGAATTGGAATCAAAACTGAGAGAGGTTGAGAAGTTTGAAGCGATAGCATTGGGAAAAATAAAAAGCGGCGACCAAACTGTAAAAGCCGAAAAGGTGAAGTGTAAAGAGTTGGAAAAGAATTTAAAAGATGATGAAAACATGTTGGCAGCTAAGCAAGCTGAATTGGACAGTGTGCAGTCTGTATTTGATACGTTGAGAGAAACTGAGAAAAGAGATGCAGAAGCTTTAGCCGCAGCTCAGGATAAATATCAAAAAGTAAGCTCAGGACTGTTGTCCAGTGAAGATGGAAAAAATGCTACCCTACAAGAACAACTCATGAGTAAGATTTTCGCAATGTTTGACCATATTGTTTATTATTGTTTCAAATAATTTATTTTCATTGTCATTTAGCTGTAAAGAAACATGTCTCTGAAAAAGAAACCGAAATGAAACAGTGTTCGGTTGAAATAAAATCCCTCAAGACTGAATTAAACAACAAAAAACCTCTTTTAAAAAAAACCGAAATGACATTTTCACAGGATAAAAAGAACCTTGAGGTCAATGAAAAAGAACTTAAAGTATTACAAGTAAGTTTATTTTATTTATTTTTGTATTGTTTAAACTTAACTTATAAATTCTATGTTGTAATCTTTAGGCCAATCTGAATAAATTGAATTACGAAGATGGGAAATTAGAATCATTGCAGGATTCACTTAAAACGCTCGATAGAGAGATGAGACAATGTCAAAATGCTGTTAGTAATTTTAACGCTAGGTAAGATTTTTAAGTATGAAAATATAATTCATTACATTTATATTATTGCGCTTTCTTTAAATATAAATTTTATTTTTAGCTTTCCCCAACTTCATTTTAAATACAGGGACCCAGAACCGAACTTTGACCGTAGAAAAGTAAAAGGACTGTTATGTAAATTATTTAAAGTTAAAGAAGAGAGATTTGCAAGAGCATTGGAAATTGCTGCAGGGGGAAAGGTTTGTTATTGACTAGTAACTGAATGTGGTTTATTTCAAAATATACTGATTTATAAAATTGTTTTCAGCTTTATAACGTTGTTGTGGACAATGAATTGGTCTCTTCAAAATTAATAGAAAAAGGAGAACTTACCAGGCGGACGACATTTGCCCCTTTAAATAAAATCCAAGGGAGACGTTTTGATCCAAACATTTTTCAAAGAGCTGAAGCACTTGTAAATATTATATTGCCTCAATAAATTATAATTTGTTTTTTAAATGTTAACTTCTTTATTAGGTTGGCAAGGGAAATGTCTTTCCAGCTCAAACGTTGATAGAATATAACCCTGAGTATGAGCCTGTTATGTCATGGGCGTTTGGACAAGTTTTAGTTTGCACTACAATCGATGCTGCTGAGAAGGTGTCATGTCATCGTGATGTTCGAAGAAAAGCTATAACTATTGACGGTGATGTTTTTGACCCGAGTGGAGTCGTTTCTGGAGGTTAGTTTATTTCTAATAGTACGGTTGGTGTCATGTCAGCAGGAATTTTTTTTTAAAGCCATCACTTGCCCTTTTCATGCGGGAAATTTAATTAAATTGCATCTAACAATTTTATAAGACTTATATTTGTATTTTATTAATTTAATAATTAGTAATAATTCTGTTATAGGTGCTGCGGAAAAAAGCCAGCCTATATTACTTTCTTTGATGGAGATAATGCAAACTGAGAAAACGTTGCAAAGAAAAACTCAAGAATATGAAAAGTTAAATAAACAAATCCAGCAGTTGATGCCAATAGCCTCAAAGTAATACGTCCTACTTTTTCAATTATGTAATTTATTATATTTGCCATTTTTATTTTTAGCTTTGATAATCTTAAACAAAAATTTGATTTACGGACAAGAGAAATTGAAATGCTTCGTCAACGTTTACAGCAAACTTCCCATTATCAGCTTCAGCAAGAATTGGAAGCTATACAACAAAGCATAAGTATATTTGATTTTTTATTTTTCTCGTTCTTCGTATTAAAATTTTAAATTATTTTATTTTAGGCGAGAAGGAAGAAATAATCGAAGAATGTAAAAAAGAACTCGCAGTGAAGACGGCAAAAGTCATTGAACTAGAAAATAAATTGCAAAATTTAAAATCTATAAAAGAAAAGGAATTAAAATCTGCAGAAGCTGAAATGAAGAAGATAAAGCAGAAATCAGAAGATAGCAGAAAGCAATGGAGGCAAAGGGAACAGGTGTGTAATACAGTGTTTACCCTGAGCTTTGTTTCATTCCAGGTTTTCTCTTTTTATTTCCAGGAATTCGAAACGTTGAAACTTGTGATACAAGAATTAACGACGTCAGTACAAACTGGCAAAGAGGAAGTATTGAAATGCCAAGAATCGATTAAGAATGAACAAGACAATACTAAATCCCTCAGCGAGGAACTTACAAAAACCCAGGTAATGTTCACACAAATTTTAGATAAATTGCACTCTTTCCTCTTATCTGGAGATCGATTAGACAAAAGTATCATGCTTTGCATGTTGTGAATCTGTGAGGTTGATGGAGAAGTTAAAGTGTGAAAAGCAATTGACACCACTGTGGTCAACAGGATTAAAACAAAGGCTTTGCTCTTGTTGTTCTCTCTAGTTTGAAGGATAAATGCATCAGCCTGCTTATCACATCTTGTCATTCCTCGTGGATTGCACTTTTAAATTGAAGTTAATGTGAAAGTATTAATTTAAGACAATTTTGGCTTTGGAGCAATTTATCTATGCTACCTAACTAACCTGATTTCTTATTCAGTATAAATTAGTTACCTGAAATTTTAATTTCTTTATCTACAGGAAAGTGTTAAAGAGATGAAAGCGAAGGTGAAAGCACAAAAAGATGCAATTGGGCAAAAAAATAAGGAAATTCAACAGATGATATCTCAGAAGGAGAAGCTCAATAAAATGTTAGGAGAAAAAGAATTAGAATGCATCAAAGAGGGTCATGCTATTACAACATTAGATGAAAAAATATCTTCTGCTCATGATTATGTAAAATTTCTAAACATATTTTTAAAAACAATTAATTTCTAATAAATATTCATTTGCCCATTGTAGAAAAAAAATTTATCGAAACAGTATAAATGGATTAAGGAAGACCGCGAATATTTTGGAGAACCGAACGGTATGTACGATTTCAATGCAAATGATCCTGAAGAGGCTAAAAAGAAAATTGATCAATTGAAAGAAGCTCAAGAGAAAATTGGAAAACATGTCAATACCAAAGCTATGGATCTTCTTAGCACACAAGAAGAACAAGTAATATAAAATCTGATTCGTACTTTTAATTATATTTTTGTAATTTGTTTTTCTTTTTGAATAGTTTCAAGATGTCATGACAAAGAAAGGGATTATTGAAGAAGATAGGTCAAAAATTCTTGACGTTATAGGAGAATTAGATTTGAAAAAAAGGGAGGTCATTCAAAATGCATGGGAAAGGGTCAATCATGATTTCAACTCGATCTTGAGTTTTCTTCTTCCTAGTGCCCATGCAAAATTGAAACCTGTTGATGGAAAAGATATGATGGATGGTTTAGAAGTGAGTAATGGATTAGGTTTGTTTTTATATTATTTTCATGATCATAATTTTCTAGGTAAAAGTTGGATTTGGTGGCATATGGAAAGATAGTCTTGATGAACTCAGTGGTGGACAACGATCGCTTGTAGCTCTTTCATTAATTTTGGCTATGTTACTTTTTAAACCTGCTCCTTTGTACATCCTTGATGAAGTTGATGCCGCTCTGGATCCGTCTCACACTCAGAATATTGGTCAAATGTTAAAAGCTCATTTCAAGCAGTCTCAGGTACAATTTAAATATATTTACTTTTATTGAATATTTTTTAATATATTGATTTGATTTTCAGTTTATTGTTGTCTCCTTGAAAGACGGCATGTTCAACAATGCTAATGTTTTATTCAGAACGAGTTTTGTCGATGGAATGTCTGCAGTAATTAGAACGACAAACAAAAAATGAATTGGTATTGTTTTTATGTTATAATTTTATTTCAAATACAGATGCTGAAATTTAAAGGCCACGGCAAAATTTAAAATAGAAACATGGTGTTTCGTCAGGAATTATTTTTGATACAGAATCTCATTTAGATTGTAATCGAGATGTGTTGTAGGAATTTGAGCTCTCACTTGTTCTTTGAACGCCAATCCGATTGTGTACAGTTGTTTTCCATTTTGTTTTCTAAGTTGGTTCATGTTGTGTAAAAATTTGTCATAATATCCTTTCCCTCGGCCCAGCCTCTCACCTCTCTCAGTAAATCCAAGTCCTGGTACAAGTATTAGATCAAGCCCACCTGAAATATATTTTAACACTTAACAAGAAGTCATGATTTTTCTAATAGCTTCCACTTTGTTGTATAGTAAGCAGTAGAAGAATATTTAAAATGGTAATGTTAGTTTTTTCAAATATTTATATTTTTAAGTCATAGTGTTTTAATGTGATAGTTTTTATTGTATATATTATTTTCTTTATAAATAAATCATTAACATAAAACGTATTACAGTCTGTGAAAATTTAATCCTTTCTTAAATATTGTTTTAAAAAATAAAATATATAAAATTGTTAATAAATTTTAACGGTGGAAAAAAATTATTTATTTTTTCATACTGTTAAAAGGTACACTTTTATTTTTATGTTTATTGATTGTACTGAATGAAAAAAGTTTTTAACCTTGAGTCGTGGAGTCTTCTCTGATTTCTGATTCTAAAGGTTGTTTTATATTCCATTTATTTTTTGGCAATGCTTCGTAATCTTCCATCGAATGAAGCTTCACCATTACCATCACTTGTGGGTTGTATCTGAAAACTAAAATCAATCACTCTGAAAAGTTCAAAATTCACAGTTATAATACCTTGGAATAAAACATTCCTTTCCATTTTCTAATATGTGCTTTATAATACTATAAGTCTGGACTTCTGTAGGCATGCTCAGGTAAACTCCGATTCTACTACTTTTATGATACTTCTCTGATGAAGTGAGCTGCAACAAATTCAAGCAATTAAATGGTTGTGTACGTATGCATTCACACTCACGGTTTTAAATATGTAGTTGGACTGATTTTCAATACTCTCACTGCTGAGCTTGTTCACGATTGCTTTTAACTCGGTCCTGACAGGAATCTTGGCTGCTTGATTCATAGTGTCTTGATTGTGATCCTCCTTGACAAAAGAACAATCTTTTTATTATCTCAAATTTTTATCTTTTTATTAAATTTAGATTATATTTTGAGTATAATTACATTAGATGTAAAGGGATAATGAATTATTTAAAACAAAACATTGATATTTTGTATTGTATGGAAATTATAGACTTTATCAGACCTGAATACCTTATTCACACAAGTATATTTTACAAAAATTGTCTATTTCTCTGCTCTGTTTCCACAGTTCATGTTAGCTGTATATTTAGAATCGTCTCTACTAACACTTATCATGTCCTCAGTATTGTACAGTAGAGTCATGATAATCTGAACTGATTGGGACTAAGAAATTAGAAAAAATTCTGTTTATCTGAGTAACGACGAAGGAAGCAAAGTAAAACAGGTCACCGGGGCCGGTGATACACAATGTATACATTGAAAAATAGGCTGCAAGTTCTGAAAAATCAGGTTAAGAGAAGAGTGATGGTTAATGTTGTCATTCCTCAGTTTTGGCTTGTTGGGTGTTTCAGCTTCTCTCCATCTTCATTTTTTAATAATAATTTCAGTTATAACATACCATTGAAGATGGTGAAATGCCCTAACAAATTTGACAGACCCCACCCAGTGAGTAATTGCTAAGAATTTACACGATCATCCCGCAGGTCACAGTAGATAGACATATGATTCTATCAGAGTTATTTGATGTCACGAATAATTTTATTTTCCAATTAATATTAATGTACGACTACTTTTGTCTAGCTAAAAAATAAAAAAAAAGGNTATATATATATATATACACGTGTATTTGTATAATTTAAATAATGTTTATTAGGCCCTGAAAATGATCTCCAAATAATCATAAAAATAAAAATAAAAATATAAATAAGTTTAGTTAATAAAAAAGTTATTAATAAAAAGTTACTTTGTCACAAATATTTGCGGTGTTAATACACTTTCATTATTTCTTATTTACTTTTTATTCCTAACATAAACAACTATGCGTGCATTACTTATTAAGGCATATATCATGCATGTAACATTCACGCTTATAAATACATTCTCACAAACAGTTGAAGCAAAATATATCTTGTCAATAAATTTGTTATATATTTACCGAAATATCTTTAAAAAAATAAGAATAGGGTACCAAAGATTTGCTGTAGTCGACAACAATTTTCATATTGGGTTGCACGCCTACTTGCTCTCTATATGGTGCCAAGGAATGACACCTTTTTGTTATGTCGGAAACATTGAGCAACCTTTCTCTATATGTCGGACAAATATGTCTACCTCACACGGCCTATTCTGAGTCCTGAGATTTAAACTAAAGAACTAGATTTAAAATCTAGATGCCAATCAAACTTGCTCTTAACATACAAGACCTTCTTGGACGATACACTCTCCTGACACTTTACCATATTCTTCACTGCTTGTTTAGCACCAGTGGCTTGTCCACATCGACTGCACGTTTGTGTTCACATTCCAAGACAACTATGTACTACCATTTTAACGAGAAGCTCAAACTCAGTGGGTCTTTTGAACAAAAGGATCCACTAAGTATCTGTCTTTTAGAGAAAATTTATTAGTGCTGCATATATGTAATAGATTGTAAAAAGTAAAACTAAACGCCAATATTTTCAAAAAATAGCGGGAACTTTCGAAACCCCACAACATAACAATTCAGTAACCTATGTAAGTGAAGTTTGCAGGTATAATGTTTATCTCGAAGTAATCAGTTGAAATATCAACAGTATTCCATAACTGTGCTAATGAAAGTTGAAATCTGTAAGTTTTTATATTTGTTTTGAACATTGTAAAATAGTTTAACAGAAGAAAACCTGTTTAGGATGAATATAAATCCTGTTGAATCGAGGATTGGACGTGATGAGTCTAGAAATCAGAACCTCACTCTTCTGGGTTGTCCAATATTTCCAGTTTTGCCATTGGCCACCATGTTTATCCAAAAAAGCGACCCAAAAAAGTTGGTTCATAACATCTTTTGATTTATGTAATATACATATATAACATAAATACTGTCCTGTTAGTATGAAAAAGATAGACGTTCATTAATTATTGTTTTGTTTAGACTTGTAATTGTATTTAAAAAAAACTTATATTTTATTACAAGACATTGCTTTCTTTTTATAAGAATGATTGAAAGGGATGATGAAAACAATATGATGTATTTCTGTGAAGAGTGCTGTAAAACATTCCGCCATAAAAAGTCATTGGTGAGGCATAAAAACAATTTGCACAATGATAACACCAAGGACAGATTCACCTGTGCCGAATGTTTTAAAGACTTTGGATACAAATGTAATTTGGTGGGTCACATCAAGAAGTTGCATGCTTCAAATTCGAAACCTTTTGTTTTCACCGAAGCGAATTGTGCACTTTGCGGAGAGTACGGTTCAAAGAAATATATCGTCGATCATTATAAGGCAGACCACGACATAAATCTGGATGTGCAGGTTGTCCATTTTGATACCGATGATGAATTTTACGCTTGGAAGGCGAACATCGAGAGCATAGAAATGTGTTTGTTCGTGAAAGAAAGGACCCTTTATACTACAAAAGATGGGACGAGTAAGATGTCTTTTAAGTGCTTTAGAGATGGGAAGTTTAAAAGGAGAGGTAAAAACATAAGAAATGTCAAGTATATGGGGAGCAACAAACTGGATGGTCATTGTCCTGCTAAAATTGACTATTCATGTACAGATAGGAAAATAAGTGTGACTTATTGCAGGACTCATGTCGGCCATGAGCGGGAGCTTGCCCGACTACCTTTGACTAAAGAGGAAAGAAAAGCTTTGGCAGAAAAAATAGCTCAAAATGTCTCTTTTGACAGTATATTGAATGATATAAGAGAATCCGTTTCTAATGAAAACTTTGAACGGATTCATCTCCTTACTAAAAAGGATTTGTTCAACATAGCTCAACAGTACAACTTAAAATCGCCTAAAGTTTCGACCAAAACAAAAAATAAAGAAGACTGGAGTGAGTTGAAACTGGGCGATGAAAAAAAAGCCTTCACTCCCGAAATCGAAACGCAACCCGAACTAGTTGAAATCAGTTCTAACGATTACCAGGAGTTGATAATATACGAGACAATCACTACGGAGGACCAGCCTGATTTGTTTGTCAAGTACGAAGACCACCGCAGTCCGGAAACTGTGTTGCCGAGCTTGGACGAAAGGAAAGTCATCTTGCTTGAAAAACTATCCGATGTTGTCAATAGGGTCCAGACTCACGAAGAGTTAGACATACTCTTTCAACTGTATGATTCAGCAATAACAAGTGTACAAAGTTCTCAACCGATTAACGAATACCGAGAATAAATTTATTACTGCAAATAAATGTTAAATAATATATTTATTTGTAAAAATAGTCTGTTTTATTTGTATCAAAGTTTAGATAATAAATGACTTTTTACGATATTTTGACATACCTGTTTAATTTTGAATTAGATATTTTCCAAAGTTCCTAAATAATTTTTATTATATAATAGTTACAAGTGGAAAATTTTATGATAATTTATCATTAAATTCAAATTAACGTTCAGGTTTATATTTCAAAATTCTTACCATTTGCTTTGTAGACATTAAAAAAAAACATATACAGGGTATTATCGTTTTTTAAGAATTTTGCCTTATTATCTAATCGTCCGATAGTAAAGATAACTTTTGACTTTCTGAAAAGAATGAGGGGTTATATTATGAAAAGAAAGAAATAATCTATTTAAACATTACCTAAATATTATCTATTCACTATAGATAATATTAAAGTTATCCATTTGTTTATAAAATTGTGATGTAATTAAATTTTACTCAATATTAGTTATTATAGTTCAATGTTATTACATCTCTCTTTCTTTCTCTTATAATCCTTTTAGTAAAAAAAAAAAAAAAAAAGTATTCAAAAACAAAATGATGTCTAAGAGCGATTTTTCGGCAAATTTATTTCTATGAATTTAAACTAGGGCGAAGTGCGGTGCAGTTGGTTTCAAAAATTAAATTAGTTGTAAGGGAGATATGACCTCACGGGCAAAAAAAGGTGATGGCCATCCTTGTGCTGTTGACAACAACCAGTTAAAGGCTCTAGTTGAAGCAGACCGCACAAAAACTACTTGAGAAATGGTGGAGGAACTTTGTGATGGTGGTCCACAGTCGTTCGCCATCTGAAAGCTATTGGGAAAACAAGCTCGCCAAGTGGGTTCCGCATGAGTTGAACAAAAACCAAAAACATCGCCGTATGAAATCTGTTCAATGCTTTCTGTACGCAATAGAAATGATCCATTTCTCAGTCATATAGTAACGTGTCACAAAAAATGGATATTATATGACAATAGACAGCGTTATAGATAAAAATCAGGGCACTTCCCAAAGCCGAGCTTACATCCAAAAAAATTATTGTCACTGTCCAGTGGTCATCTACAGAACTCATTCATTACAGCTTCCTCAATCCAGGTGAAACTATCACTCCTGAAAAGTAATGTAATGAAATTAATGAGAAGATTGAAAACTGCAACATTTATTGCCAGCATTCTTCAATTAGGGGCCTATCCTCCTTCATGACAACGTACTCTGGCACTTCATGAGTTGGGTTACGAGGCTTTACCACACTCAATGGATCTTTCTCCTACAGATAATTGCTTGTTTTTAAACATCTCAACAACTTTTTGTGTGAGAAATGGTTCATAAGCCAGAATGACATTGAAAATAATTTAGGGAGTTTGTCGATTCGATTCCAGAGCCCCTAGTTTCTCCTCTTCTGGGATTAATGCATTGGTTGTGCGTTCGCAAAAATGCGTAAGTAGTAATGGAAGTTATTTTGATTAAATATATTTTGTTGAAGTTAAAAGAGTAGCTTGTTTTTACTGTACACCAAAAACCTGCATTATTTTTGCATCAACCCAATAGTAATTTACTCAATCTAACTATTTACTTTATCTAGTGTATGATTGTTATTGAGGTCATGTTGGGTGTTGGTCATTTCCAATCTTGATTTTGAGAGGTGAATTTAGTCTTATAGCAAAGATGCCAAAATGGTACACGTCTGACCGACCAAGATGATAGGAAGGACTAAAATACAGCATTCTACGGTAAATTGCTACTCATCTTCCTTTTTTGTTGGTTGATTTCCTTAACAAAGTTTGTTATTAGTCCTAAGAGCCCTCAAGAGCTGAGCCAATAGGCTCTGAAATACATCGGCAAGCATTGATGAATTGAAACGGTTGAAGCAGTTTATAATTTCTTTGTACTTACTTCATGAAATTATATTATATACTTAAATTATAATTTAATTAAATTATATACTTCAGATATACATTATTTTTATACACTTAATACAATAGTGTTTTTTGTCAAAATCACTTGATTTGTCAGGTTGTAATTCTTAAATATCTTTTATGCATGTTGCTGACATTTCAACACCAATTGATTGTACAGTCAGAACATTCTTGATTAAATTGGATGTAGAAATGTTTTGAATTGAAATTTTGAATGTTTTTTTTTTATGTTTTGTTTTGTTGAAAAAGAAAATTGGGAGACTGAGGATATCTCACAACCTCCGGACTAAGGTTCCAGTTCTCACCTTCCCTATTTCATTCTATATTCAGTACACCAAGTAGCTCGCATAAACTTCAACAACTTATCTCTTTGTAGGGTCGTTATCAAGTGCATTTTCAATCTTCTTAGAGATGTCATAATTTCTTTTGGCATTTTCATTTTGTTTGCAATTTGTCAACAAATGTTTTACGCTTCCAAAAGTAACCAATGAAACATCTAAAAACTACATTTTATAACAAGTTAGAAAAAAAAGATTGATCAAAATCCAAAAGACCAAAATTAAGGATGTTGGAGGACATCTGTCAGACACCATGAATATTGTATTTTTCTATGTATTTTGTATAAAAATACAGACTAGAGAGAAAATGTATTTTAATCTATTGTCAAAGATATGGAAATAGCGGTATTTATAATTGAAAAATTAAGATATTAGCTTTTGTCTCAGATTACCAAAATACCAATCTGAATCTTTGATACAAAAGTTGACATTTATGTAACTGTAATGAATCTGATTTTAGTTATATTGTCAAAGAAATGGAATTACCATTTTCAATTAATGAAAATATAAATTGTCATTCTCCAGGATAAAACAATGTAGTTTGAATTTACCCAAATATTTCTTACTAATTTTGCTTTGTCAGTTTTTGGACTAGTTAGAATCCAATGTACTTCTCTGAATCTGAGATCACAATTACCTTTAAATTTTAAGCTAAGGAAAATCATAAGTATAAATTTGGACTAGGTTCTGTGGGTGATATTCCTAGGTACACAAGTTTTAATAGACAACATGCCACATAGTACGTCAGATGTGTTTCACTTATAATAAAAATAATTTTGCAATAATTTCTTCTCATAATTTATTACAAACATCTTGAGAGGTCAATGATTTTTGGGGTTGGGATAAATAATATGTCTAACTCTTGTAAGCGCACTTTATTTAGCGAGTTAAATAAATGGATTGTTTTCTTACATCACATTTGAGATCATGCCATCATTGCTTCATTAATGTTGATCAAAGTACAGAAACACTAGAGAAAGGATAATTAAAAAAAAGGCCATTCATTCATTTCTATGTTTCTGCACACAAAACAAATAAGAAAATAAGAGATGAAGCTTTTGTAAATTATAAAATTTTAATCTGTTGGTACATACAAATAAAGTACAATTTATATAGATGCATTTCACCTCTGAACTAATATGGTACAAAAAATTGACATTATGTAAGTTGTTTACGGGATAGTAACACCGTTTTAGGACATCCTGGCTCATATTTTGAATTCACAATTTTTTAAAATTTATTTTAGAACACTGCTCAAAAGTTGATTACAATAGCAGTGATTTAACTCGTGAAAAAAATGCTTGATGGCTTAATTTTAATATTTAAATACTTATAACTTTAAAGAGGGCAGCAATAATAAAATTTCAATTATTGCCATCCAAACATATTTTTGATTGGTAAATTGAAAAAGTTTTAAGTAGGATTTCCTATTACATTATAAAAAATTATTAATCTACATATCACCCTATGATAAAAAAATTATTATATCTATTTTTCTTTATTTATTTCTAAGTCTAATTACTGGAACAAATGATTTGGCATTACAAATGTTCAGTATCACTTATTTTTTTATTAATTAATGAGCACAGACGGTTTTATAACAAGAATTGCTCTGAATCACAATGCTAAGGGAATTACAAGTACATGGCAGTAAGTTTAACTTTCCAATGCTTTTCAACGCCATTTATACGATCACTGCCGGGACTTAATTCTAAAAGCACCTATATCATATATATTTACATATAAATATAAAATTGTGTATATTATAAATTAAAATGCCAAAGACGTTTATAAAGAATTTTCATTTTTTTTTAAAATTCTCTAATATGTTTCATTTATTCAAGGCACATTAGCCATTGGCAATTAAGAAAAAATGTACATCTAATTTTAACAAAATCAAATAATTCCTACTTTGGAATAAATAGAGACATGGACACTTTTCTCGTTGATTTTTTTGTTTAAATATAAACTACCTATCTTAAAATATTAAATAAAAATTCTAGGCACTTTATACTTATGTACATAACACTAGTGAGCAATATTCTTCTTTGAAACAACTTACACAAACAACACAGTTGAGTTTATTTCACAGCGGCCCAAACTTTCTTCTTGTGAAATCTCGCATAACCGCACTTAGATGACAGCATCCGCCGCACTCTCGACCTCCCATACTTATATCCTAATCTAACACTGAAAAACAACATTTAAAAACAATTATTTAAAAAATACGACCTTTGTTAGTATAGTGCATGTTTAAAATGGTAAAAATAGAAATGTGATTATTACTCGTGTAATAAAAACCATCATGAAAAAAAGTGGCCCAATGACAAGTATATCAAACTTACATTAAAAAAAAAAAAAAAAAAGGCTGTAAAAAAGTGTTTAAACTGGGTATGAGCCATGCAGTTGACTACTACGCAGCAACATAAAATGGAGACTGATTTTTAAAAACTAATTGAAGCAAGATAAAAAAATAAATTAATTAAAAAAAAAAAAAGTCTAAATCAATGTCAATCAATAAATCTTGAAGTCGTAGAATTTTTTTAAAAATAAAAGTTACTTTGTACTGTATTTTTCAGGAAAATATTACAATGATTTGTACCATTATTTTCTTTTTGAGTAGTAATTGTTCCAGTACTGACTGTATTTTATTCTTTTATATTTTGAACAAACCTTTTGAATAACAGTTTATGCTTCATTAGTCTTGGGCACTCTTATAGTTTATTTAATTATACTAAATACATTCTCAAGGAAAAGCCACCACCATAATTTCTTCCATAAATAGCATACCATAACACATTACATAAACCCTTAATAATACGCAATCAATATAATAATTAAACAAAAACCAATATATAATCACAAAAATTGTTTGATATTATATAGTACTAATATTGTATGAACATTAAGGGCGAAGTTAAATGTGTTGTTGCCAAGAGTAGATTTTTAATTAGAAAACAAGACAGACATAATTCTACATAGTTTAAACTTATACAAATAATTTGCAGAAGATAATGCAATGGATGAAACGATAAAGTCAAAAATCACTGAATGTTTATTAAAGAAAACAGCAATAAAACACCAGAATGGATAACAAAAATATAAACCACAAAAAGCCTAGCTTTGATTGAAAGCCTGTTTTGATAAGAAAATATATAAAAACTATAACTTTAATCTTTTAAATTTAACAAACAATTAGAACTCACTTGTGATAAAAAGTGTGCCTATTTTATCAATCCTAAAACAATCAATTCTGTTTGGGTGATAAGAATTTTGTTTGCCAATACAAGAATAGCCTGCTTAAAAGGTTGAAAATTACTGAAATTCAGAAAAGCAATTGAAATTGGTTGTTCCTTGATAGCTGGCTCAACTAATGAAAAACTAAAAAAATTGTTCATTTAAATTTTTGCTCATATAGCATACAACCTCGCTCATCCATGCTCTTTTGCCATGGCTTACCTTTGTCGGTGCCAAATGTACAAGAGGATAAGTAAAAAAATGATTTAGAGCAATGTTGGGACAAGAAAGCTGTTGGACAAGTGGATTGGACGGAAGGTATACAATTTTGTGCAACTGTTTGTTCGGGATGTGTATATCATTGTGGATTGTTAGGTTTGAAACGTTGACTTCAGGCTCTATTCCTTCTGCAGTTTCGTTGTTGATGTTTGTTGCTTTTACCCGAAAGCAATATGTGAGTCTGGGAAATAAATAGTGATAAAGACTACAGAGGGGAAAAGAAGACCTTCTGCACAGAGCAAGGATAGGGGAGCATTTCTTGAAATGAGGTAATGTACAGGGCCTCTAGTAAAAAGGAGAGGAGGCTATAGAGAAATTAATATTGACAAGGAAGGTGTACATTACAAGGAATGGTACACATGGGAGAGGCGTTAAGGAGGGCGACAAAGGCGTTTCCATACCTTGCCAGACTTGTGGCTCTTTTTATAGGCACCCTGGCAAGGAGGAGGAACCTCCCGCTCTCTCTTCGTCTCCCTTCCTTACCTTCCTGTACATATCTAGTATTTTTAATTGGATGGATTGGATTTAATAGGAATTGAATTTTTTGTTGATCCCCAAACTTTGATTTTATATGTCCAAATTGGTCTCAGGAGGATCTTATAAATAGTGAGTCTGAATTTGCGAGAAGAGGCTGGATAAGGTGTGGATGTTGTCAACAAAAGAGCATATAATATTGTTAGGGAGAACAGGAATGTTGTTTGTGTATATTGTGTATAGGAAAGGCCCTAGGATGCTGCCCTGAGAGACACCAGATTTAATGGTAATATAAGAAGAAAAGGCAACCCCCTGATAGATGCAGAAACTAGTGGTGAGGCAGGATATTATCAGTTTCAGCTATTAATATTTGTTTTTAGAAGGATTTTGCCTTGGAACGGGTGTTGGAAAGGTTTGTTAGGTTTTTGAAAATAATTTTAATTCCACAGTATGGAAAGTATGTTATTTTTAGTACAGTATTGTATGTGTTGTGATGTATCAGGTAACAAAAAACAGCAGCCTTTACTTCATGGTTTTGCTCCTAAATATTTTTGTTTTAACGATCATTTAAATAAATTCAAGGAACACAAGCTTCTAACTTCTTGTGACAATATTATTAAAATTAATAAAAAACTGGAGATGCAATTTTTAAAACTATGCTAGCCCAGCATAGCTTTACGAAACTATATGAATATGTATGAACAACGGACATGCCTGACATTAAGTAAAAACAGCGTAGAGTCAAAATGTCGCCAAAAACAAACAACAGACTGAAAAGAAAAAACTACAAAAGATCAGTTTCAATAAAACTCCTGTGATGTGATTAAATGTTTTGATATGTGTGGTGATTAGTGACCGTTAATCGATATTTATTTAGAAATTGTGAGATGCGGTCTGGTGTGATGTAGGTTTCAAAAAAACATTTTCTTTATCGTGCCAACGTTTCGATCTTTATTGAGATCATCATTGAGACTCTCGACACGACACGCAAGAATGACACAATTACACAGAAGACAAACACTTTGAGCCCTGAAGATGATCTCAATAAAGATCGAAACGTTGGCACGATAAAGCAAATGTTTTTCTGAAACCTACATCACACCAGACCGCATCTCACGATTTCTAAATAAAAAATAAATAAAAAAGTTTTGATATGTGTTTTGAAATGAAAATCGTGATGTGCTCAACTGAAAAATAACCTTGTTTTGTCAGAAGTTAACCATTCTCATCAATGATTTAGGGAAAAATTATAATAAAATTAATTCTTAAGAGTGTAAATCTATTAAAAAGCTTGTATCTATCTGAAAATGCGAAAAAAAAAAAGCGCTAAACCAAAATATTCTCCTATTATATAGATATTACATAACAGGAGTAACAATATATAATTTATGTAAGTCAAAATAAGGCGCCCTAGCAATAAATGTATATGGAACTCAATTTTGAACTTCTCTCTGCAGTTTTGATCTCAAAATTCATATGTACTTGAAAATAAATAATCAAAAAATTGTTTGCAGTGAAGAACAAATCTATCATAGATTACAGTTTGAAAATAATGCAAGCAGGGTACATGACTGAATATCCCTGAAATAATATGCATCTGCCAATTCATAGAAATCATGATCTAATAATTCATTTCTACAAGACATGCTGTTCCAATCTCTTTTGTGCTTGCTTCATACTATAAAATAATTTATTTCTTCTATAACCCACCTTCAGTACAACTAAGACCTTGTTGTTTTATTTTGATCCAGTTTCTTTTTGTACATTCCTGAAAATTCAAATAAACCAGCTAATAATTAAATTATCATTCCGCGCTAAATCTAACCTCAGAGTTATTTAAACATTATGCATAAGGGGTACACTATTAAAATCTAAAATAGTAGTTTCATTTGAAAAGAAAAATGGAGTAAAATAACAGAGATAAATACCAACAAAGTTGGTTTTTTTTAAACACTCCTGACTGCAAAATTATCTTATCCTAGGAGGGAACAAACTTCTTTTTGTATGCAAAAGTAATCTACTACTATAAAAACTAATGTAAATGTTATCCTTTCTTTTAAGCAGTTCAAATCCATTCTTGCTGTATCTGTCAAATTTAAGGGCAAGGTGAGAACAAAATATTCCAATATACATTCAAGTATGATTTTGGTAACAATCAACACAATAAATGATGAGTAATTTGTTTGTTAAAAGCTGAAGTTTTGGTTAAACCTAGCTTATTATTATATTAATGAGATAATGGAGGATGCCAAGTGGTTTTGAGTTTGAATCTTGGCAATTTTTTAAAAAAGATTAATTTGAAAAAAGTTGTGACACTTTGTCCTTCTCGACACTCAACGGGTGGGTAGTTGGACATTACACTAAGCCCTTTTCTAGACAGGAATTTCTTTACATTTGATGAGATAATTTTATGAATTAACAATAAAGTGATGTAACCAGTGTAGTGTTTGGAAAATGAATATATGAAAGCTATGTTTTTTTACTGACTTTCAAGATCTCACAATATTGATTGCCGTGATGTTTAATAAGATGGTCTATAAAAAATGTATGTTAGGACACACATTTTAATGTTATTAATTATTAGTTTAGTATTATTTTTCTTGGTTTGGCTCAGCCCTAGTTTGGATGAAGCCTATTCTCACACACAAAAAAAGAAAAGTTTACCAATTTTTAAATTAATTAATGTCCCAATTATTGCTCTGAGGTGATGGTCTTAAGGCTAGTACACACTTGTACACAAAATTCTGCCAATTTTGTCTAAAGACAGTTCCCAACAAATCCATTTTGTACGATATGGTATTTGGGATCTCATTTCCTTCACTACTGAATTTCTTCTTAAAGGGGGTGTCAACCAATTCTCGGATTCTTTTTCCTTATTCCTCCATTCTTACTTTAATATCTCATGAACTAATTGCTGAATCACAATGCTTGATCTCATTTTATCTGCAGCTTTCTAGTGAACATTTTCGTTTAAATTTTAATGCATATGGTTATTTTAGAAGCTGTCTGCTAAATGTCTGAAAATGCATTTCAAAAATTGCCTGAATTTATGTTCCTTTTTCTCAAGTAGGGCTTACCATTATTTACTTGGTTTTTGTTTTGTTTAGGGATGGTTAGGGTCATATCAACATGACATATCGTTTCATTGGTGCCACATGATACTGCCGACATTGAGACCTTTCTACTGGATAGCATGGTTCCTGTTATGTTAAGATTTATCCATTTGTAGACACTATTCTGATCTGTGTAGACCTTTTAATTGTTAAATTGAGCACTTCCGAAGCTCCAAATTGCAAATTGTTTACACCAAACAATGCAGGAAAAATCTAGGTAAAAATTATATTTACATAAAATTGCTTCCATACTACCAAAGGAAGCCTTCAAGTGGTAAATTGAAAAATTTTTGTACTTTAAAAGCATAATTTCCACTCACATTTTGTGTTTCAGACCTTTCTGAACAAATTTGGTTCCATGTCTGTCTGTAGTCTATTCCTTTTAATTGGCAAAACGAATTTATATGAAATTTTCAGAGATTGTGCAAGTTGGTTTCCAGCCAGTCCCCTATGAATGTCATCACAATTGTATCAAAAGTATCATCTACGCATGCGCAAACGTAAAATCGTGTAAAACAGCTATATCTCTGAAACCATTTGTCAGATTCTTAGATGCAACTTTCAGGGATTATGCGGTTTGCTTTCTAGATGATCCACTATGAATTAACGTAGTGCATGCACATGCACAAAATGTGACGAAGCTATACTGCCCACACACTTGGAAAACTTTTTTTGTCAAAAATTTCACATTTTTTTTAGCACTTTCAATGCTCCAAATTACAATGTTTTACACCAAACTATGCAGAAAAAATTCTAGTGTTTTTTATTGCCTTTTTCAATGCCAAAATTGGTCAAACCTCCCCTTAAAATTAACACACTTTCTGTGATTACACCCTAGTTTTTACTCTTTTCGTCATTGTTCTTTGATCGAGAAACCAAGCAGGTGGAACATAAACGCTAAGAGCTGCTAACGATGGCTATAATAAGAAATATATATTACAATTATTAATCTATTAATAATAATTTGATAACCAAGCAGCCATCAAAGCACTAAGCTCAAATATCATTAATTCAAGAATGGCGCTGAACTGTAAAACCAAACTAAACATATTAGGTACGCAGAACAAAGTCAGCCTCTGCTGGGTCCCAGGAAACATGGGAGTAGAAGGCAACGAGAAAGCGGACACCCTTGCAAGGCAAGGAGCTGCTACACCGCTGACAGGACCTGAACCCTTCTGTGGCATAGGAACCCACACTATCAACGAGTATCTCAGACAAAAGGACAAAAAGAAAATGAGGGAACAATAGAATTCACTCATTGGACACATACAATTCAAGAATCTTCTAACCAATTTTGGAAGGAAAGAAATTACAGAATGTGTCAAGAGAAACAGGAATAAACTGTGAATCCTAGGATTCCTAACATGTCACTGCAAGTTAAATGGACACTTAAAGAAGATTGGAATAATCCAAAATGGTACATGCAGATTCTGCAAAGAGGCAGAAGAGACACCAACACATCTATTAAGAAACTGCGGAGCTACACTAGCCCACAGGAGGAAATGTTTTGGGATGTATAATGTGACCATAGAAGAGCTTCAACCATTGAAACTGGGCATACTCACCGATGTGCTTTAGGCAGAGCACGGGGGAAACAATAGCTCTTAAAGGGCACAGTATACTATACCTTGAAAAATTACATCTACATCTAATAATAATTTTTACGTGTTTGGGATCTGGTTTCTGGTCAGGTAGAACCAGATCCCAAACACATTAATCGTCTTCATCAAAATAATTTTAACGTTATACAGTCCACCAGGTAAGATCCTCTTTTTTCTTTAATTTTTAATTTTTACTTCTGACCCAACAATTAACTGTACTACTAAATCTAAATATTCAGATTAATGATCATAAACCTAAAAATAATTGTACCTATTTAAGGTTATTTTAACAAAATTTAATAGCCTCGCAATTATAGTCTTCATTTTCTTATCATTCTTGTGTAACAGTTATGGTGTAACCTTTAACCTTTAGCAATATTCTTAAACTATTACCTCTATTTACAAAGAATAAATAAAGCGTAAATAATATAAATATATAAATGTATTTCCTGGGAAAGATAATATTTACAGTCTGTGTTATAGAGACATGAAAAATTAAATCCTCAAGTCAAGAGAGAGAAGAGGTGTTTGTATAACAAATTCAATATGTAACTACGGTACAGTTTCTTCTAGCTTGCTTATACTGTAAAAAGACATGTGATTGTTGAACACAGGAATAATACGATGCGATATTTAAAATCTTTGAAATTGAACATGTACTCACGTTGTTTCCTCAGATGGGCTTCCACTGTGATGGGCAACAGATTGAGATTCGTCTAATGGATTTTCATTCGCGTTCGGATTGTCGCTCGAATAAGGCTGGAAAAAAATATTGTATCAGTAAAGAAGTGCAATTACAATTGAGAACAATTTTTGTAATGTAATTTTTTTAAATGTTCGATTTGTAAGAGGAAAATTTTTCCGACGGTTTGTTCTAGGTTTCTCGCCCAGTTGTATATGCAGACAAGTTAATAAAAATATTAAATAAAATGAGCAGACAGAAAATTTAAACCTAACAAAGACAAGTTTAAAATTGCACAATGAAAAAAAAAATCATACGTTTTTGTACAATATGTCTATTATTAAAAAATTAACCTTTCAAAATTATTATTAAGACAAGTTTAGTACAAAAAAACCTCACTGTCACAAAGTGTGATTAAAAATGGTATCCAACTTGATAACATTGCCAAGAATCTATTAATGTAGTCGTCAACGAAAATGTCAAACGAAGACATCTTTCTTTCAAGTTTAAACAAAATCATTACCATCATCACAATGAAATGTGGTCATTACCAATTAGAGGATAGGTAGATTGAAATGATTGGAAACAATTTAAATTTCAGGTACACCACCGGAGAAATCTCACAATTTATCAGAAAAATGTTCACCTTTTTTGTCGCTATTTCAAAACTTATCGAGGGGGAAATTAAAATTCCTCAAAGTAATTTATTAATTTTTTCAGCAAAATGATAATTTTTTCAAATTTTATTTATCTAATTTACTAACTCCTGAACTAAATTACACACATTTGACTACTTACATCCAATAGTTCTAACTATCTACTCTAAAGTATTTGACTAATTTTACTATTGTATTAATAAAAGACTTTTATTTATAAATATTTACATTAAAAAGTAAACAAATATAAGCTGAATACATTACATCATGAAATGTGTCGCTAATATAAATATAAATAAGTCACAAAAGCCAATATAAATATATAACAACGACTGCAGAATGTTAAGAAAATACCAACATTCACAGTTTGTTTGGTCGAAGTGGACAAGCCTATCCTAAAATGGCTTGCCCACAGACATGCCTTAAGTCCCATTTTGAATTTTCCACCACCTAGACACCCAACTTTAAAAAAAATTTACAATTTAAATTGTGCATTCACATATTTTATATCCAGAGTATATTTTTGTAGAATACGTTTTACTTTTAAAAACTTGAAAGGTTATTTTAAACTGCTTAATATATATTTACTGACAACAACCAAATATAATTATGCATGTATTATTCATTACGAGACGAACATCGAGAGTTTTAGAATGTTAAAAAAAAAGCCATATTCTTGTATAATTTGATTGTACTAGGCACCTTATTTTTCTAAATTCTATATCGACAAGACCACTAGTCTACGTATAAATTATTACCTATATTCTGTTGGTTGGTACACACATAGGGGGGTTTCTACTGTTTGAACACAGCTATTATTTAAAAAACATTTCACTTACAATACTTCAGTTTTTTATACTGATGGTAAAATTTCCGCAACAAATGGTCCTCAGGTGAAAGATATGAAAATGTGTATTGTTACGATTAAATCATAATGCTAAAGTTGAAAGATGGATTTGAAATTCAATTCAATAAGCAATGTGAATCTCTGAAAGGATTTCAGGGAAACGGATACGGTCATCAATTTTCTTTTCCCCCCGATTTTCAAACTCCTTTCTTTCACATAAATGACCTATCTGTTATAAATAGTTATCAAAAATTTTCTTTCAGAGCTCCACATCGAAATAATAAAAGTTGTTAAATTATATGAAGCAGCAAACATAAAAAAAAAAAATGTTAGATGAAAACTGCAGTAACCGCTGTCTGCTATTAAAATTGTAATAATACTGCCAATAAGAAAATACAATAAAAATATATAAAGTAAATTGTGCCATAATATAATACTTTAAAAACTTAATCTACTTGTATTATAGCAATTCAATAAAAAATAAATTAATTAAAAGAAAAAATCATAAATATGTTATTCTAATTTCTTTAAATAATTTAATGTAAATACTTTAATTCCAGAAAAAGAAAATTATTATAGTACAATAAAGAAATCACTTACTGTTGAATTTCGAGGCTCAACACAAGTCACATCTAAATGGATTTGTTCACGGCACTTAAGCTCTAACAGTTTTATTCCTAAACAAAATAAACAAGGCATTAAAAAATAAATAATTTAAAAGAGAAATTTTTACAATTACCTTCAGTCCTATTGTTATGATATCTAGACTCCCATGCATCAAATAGATAATTATAATAGCGATTCCCTTCAAAGTATTGGAGAAATGTGTGCGTCCTCTCAGTCGGGAAAACTTTCTGGAATCTAAAATTGAAGATTGAGTCGGATATTGTACAAAATGTCAAGAAAATAAGGACTTACTGCCCAATTTGAGTCAATTCATCTTCGTAGATCACAAGATGTCTAATATCATCGGGCGTTAAGTCTGTTAAAATAGAATCTTTATACTGAAACAAAGATAAAATAACGTGTTAAGCAATACATAAAGAAATTTATTTGTATTTTGTTTTTCAAAAAGCTTCTTCTTACATATTCTCTATCTTCTACTTTATCGAAAAACAATTGTTTGCTCTTTTCAGCAGGTGATAATCCATTCACAAACAATCTATGGTCATAACACAATTTTCCTTCTATTCCAAATCTTTTACTTAATTCATCCTGTAAATGAAAGTTTTATTTTTTAATTACATAAAAACCTTAATGAGTTTAAACATCAGAACTAGTCCAAATTAAAAATCACATGTTGACTGTGATAACAAGGGATGTGGGTGTTGTGTTTTGTACTACAGTAAAACTTCCCTTTATTGACACTTCTTAAAAAATGGACACCACCCTTGAATAGAAAATAATTCTGATTCCCCGGTGACTTCCCATTTACATTTTCTATAAGACAGACACTCGCAATTATAAACATAGATAGCTTTTATGACTATTTAGACTCCTGAAAGCAGACAGCAGTATACAAAAAATAAACATTTTCTGAGAAAAGCAGTTTCCCCTATGTTCCATTCATAAGATGCTTATACCTCTGGTGATTGAATACAACCTTCACAAGGCTGACTGGAAAAGATATAAATAAATCCTGAAGATATTGACATGACTGGGGATATACTTCTAGAACTTTTTGTGAAAACAGAAACATAAGCTCCTAACGTAAATTGAGCAAAGAAAACCTATGAAAAGGGGAAGAAACACAGCACAAGGAGAACATGGCGGATGGGTGTTAAGACGTCTGACTCATATTTACCAAGCTAATGGTTTTGTGTCTCCTGGAATCCTCCCATGGAATTTTAATTGAGAATAGTATGAAAAAGATTACTGTACATTGGTTTGACCCCTTGTCCGTGACGCCCAATTGGAATTAAGCTCTCCTGCACAACAGGAATTACTTTACCCCGACTCACAAAAGAGAACGTTTTACTTGTGTTAAAAATAGTACATGGCAAATGCAATAGTTATAAAGCAATAACTTACCTGCTGAGCTTGTGTCAATTTATTTGGTATCTGGAATCCAGCTATATTTAACAAATCTTTAACCATTGGTCCTTTCACAGCTAAATCAAGTGGTGACGATGAATGCAATGATGGTGATATATTCACCTACAATTTTATAAAATAATTATTATTCACATGTAAACTACCTGAATCACCTACCTCTAGTAACCAAGGTCTTAGATTTTCATCTAACAAAACATCCACACCAAAGAGTTCGTAAGAACAGTACCGAGACGTCAAGTTGGAATTGGACAATTGACTGATTGAAGACTCTCCACTGATCATTGTTTTAATTACCAGCTCTTCTAAACTAGTCCACAGTGCATCCATATTCACCGATCCTTCTAGGTAGGTCCAGAGGGACTTTATTGTCCTAAAATATATAATTTTATTTACTAGTACTTAAGAATTTAATGGAACTACTTACCATTTATGGCCAGTACAAGCTTCAGCATCCTCATTTTGTGCATAGTTATTGCTAAGTTTATTAATGCTGTAGTTTGTTAGATGCATATACCTATTATTGAGTGTTGAAGGCTCGTCAGAATATTTGACTAAAATCATGATTTTTTTTTAAATTGATAGTGGATCGAGTAATCAACTGAACATCATTTACCTGAAGCGAATCTCACCAACCCATTCTCATAAAGGTAGATTCTTAATGGATTAAATGTTGGCACCAATACGTACAACCTTAAATCGAACTTATTTCCATTGATTAGATAAGGGTTTGAGATGTATTTTTGCACTATCACAGGAACCTTCTTTGGTATCTGACCCCACTTGTGTACAACTTTGATCCCGGTCCCTCGGGCCGAAGCAGGCTGAATAGAACCATTTATGAACAACACGTACAAAATGTGTATAACACAGAATACTTACAGGTTTTACAATCCATTTCGCCTTGGATCCTGTGCGATCCCAAGCTTGACGGAGTAATTTCATATCTTGTGGAAGAATAAATGTCCGAGGAATGAATCCAAATCTTTGAAAAGGAAATATATATGTTATAGATTTAGTAGTAGTACAAGTAATAAAGAAATAAGTTTTACATTTGGGTTCATGTTTAATGTCAACAATGTTTCTTACATTAAAATTTTTTTTTAATAATAAATAAAAAATAATGTAGCTAGATTGCATTTTTATCTTTTTTTGCTGATTTAGTCTGTGTTATTTTGTCTAAATTATCCTGTTAGCTATACTACTTATTTGAAAATAATTTCTACTGAGTGAGGTATAACAAGGTCAGATTAAAATATCTGCTGTCTTCTATTTATTAAGCTGTTTGTTAAAATGTGTGTAAACATGTAAACATTGGGAGTCAACCAATGCTTGGATTCTTTTCTGGTCTGTCAAAAATAAAATACATTTTTGAAAAGAACTAGCAAAGATCAGCAGACAAAAATGATCGGAAACTATCAAACTATGGTTCACCACCCAACAGGCCTCGAGAAATCTCACAATCAACTTATAAATGTTTCACCACAACAGAATTATTCATTTTACATTAGTTTATTTTCTTCTCTACTTTGTCCTCCCTTCATAATCTCTTAAAAAACTGGGACCTGTCATTTATGTCACACTACAATGCGGGTTTTCATTTCGCCAAGCGCTTTTTCTTTTTCATTCATGTACCCCTATTTTATTTAATTTTATTGTATTGGTGCTCCTAATTTATTTTCAGATTTTTTATATGACATTTCCTTCACTACTAACTGTCTTAAGTGAGAGGGGGTGTCACCAATTCTCAATTCATTTTTCCTAATCCCTACATTTTCCGTTTATCTTGAATTCATCATCTGATCAAAATACGACTGGTATCATATTTTTTCTTGTACACATATTGGTATAAGTTTTAATGCATGTTGTTATTTTAGAAGCTGTTCAGTATTAATGAACTGTCTGAAAATGCATTTCAATAAATTACCTGAATTGATGTTTCTTTTTCTCAAGTACAGCTTAACTTATCCCTTTTTTTTTTTTTTTTTTTGGCTTTGATTTAAACAGTACTCCATTACAACTTGTGAATATGTTTTTGGGCTTACCTTGAATCTTTTCAAAGCATATTTTGGAAATTTTATTTTACCGATTTTTTAGATGACGAACATTTTGTAAAAATCTGCTCCTTATAATCAAATTTCAAAATTTTTATCTCATTTTAATTTTTATTTACAAAAATGCTCTCGACAAAACTTTAGTTTTTTCCAATAAATTAAGGGAAAAATAATTAAGCAATTCTAAATATTGCTGAGAATGAAGGTAAAAAATGAGACTTTCCACCAGAGGTTTTTTAGTTTATGTTTGATTTTTGACTTTTTAAGTGTGCTTTTTGCAGCATATCATGGCGTTGGTATTGCGCAGTACTGCTGATGTTGAGACATTTTCACCAGATAGCAGGGCACCATTTAACAAAAAGGAAAAAAGAGTGCCAGTTTATATTGGGATTTATCCATTGTAGACACCATTCTGACTTGAATAGATTTTTAATTTTTAAATCGATCTGTTTTGGTGAACAAAATTGCAAATCTTTTACACCAAATGATGCACAAAAAAAATCTAGTTTAAATAAAATAATTTTTAAAATTTAATTTTTTTTAAGGCATTTTTGGTACTCGAAATTGCAATTCTTTTACACTGAGTAATATAGAAAAAACCAGTTAAATAATCTTTTATATCCGGATGTAAACAAATTTTGGTCATAATTTTCAACACAATTTTTTTTTATAGTATTTCTGGTGCTCAAAATTGCAAATCTTTACACCTAATGATGCACAAAAAATCTAATTGATTAAAACAATTAAAAAAAATTAGTTCTGGGCCAAATTTTAGCCAAATTTTTTTTACCAAAAGTTAAATCCTCCATAATGCAGAAAAAATTTTTAGTTTAACTTTTTAAAATGATTTTAAAGCCAAAATTGCTTGATGTCCCTTAATATTTTTTTATTTACATTTTCAATCTAACTTAGTAGAAAATCAATACTTACTCTTTTTTACCAAATTTTGACATAAGTCTAAAAAGATTCTTCCACAGCCTATCTTTCCTTCCTATCTGAAAAGTGCCCGGAATGTGGTTTATTTTCTGGTAGTCTTTTAAAGTTTTGAAACAAATGGACTTCATATGTCTGCCCCATATCCCCAACCAGTCGTTTGTTCCTGTACATAAAAGGTTAAAATCAAAAAGTGAAGCAGAATTGTTTTATGGGATATGATGTAAACAAGGACAAAAAAGCAAAACTATAATACTTACTACGGACTAATTTGAATCCAGAATTTTGAACAGTATGCCTTACAACAAGAGGCGTTATAGTGCTAAGCTTCCATTTTAAACTTCTTTGTATTAACTTAGGTATTGTAGGTGCTGAAATATTTAATAGTAAATTAGTGCGTTAAAATCTGAAAAGAAAAAGTTTAAAGTACATTTGTAAAAAGAAATACCTTTAGCATCATGAGATATAAATCTTAAATATGGCGGCACATGAGGAAAGAGACTAGGCCTTATAAAGGGCTGTGATTCTGATTGTAAACTAGGAGACGCAGCTGAAATAAAGGAATAAATATATTGGCCAAAGTTATAAGGCAACAAGTTTAAATACTCACTTATAACATTCTTTAAACTTTTTTCTTCAAGGGAGATTTGTTCTAGTGTATCACCAACTGCATAGGATGGTGTGACTAAACTGTAAGGTGATGCAAAGTCTTCGACTGCAGGGATTGCATACGTTGCACCAATTGTGTATGATAATGAACGGCCCTTCTTTATAACTGAAGGTTTAGGTGTTTGAACAAGTTTTGCAGGGCTCTGTTGGCTAGATTTTGGTTTTACTGAAAAAAAAAAAATTAAATATAAAAAAAAGCCTAAACCCAAATTATTATAGTTAAGGCAAACCTTCTGTGCATGAAGTCGAAGCATCCACTGCTTTTGGAAATGCTCTGTAAATAATATTTTAAATATTATTTATTTAATTTATTTAACATTAAACTTTACTTTAATTTTCAATTAATATATTACCTGACTTTAACTGGTATCGACTCTTCACTAACTTGCGGTGGACTTTCACTCTTAGTTGGTTGTTCATCCTCAGGTACTGGTGGAGCTTGTTTGGGCATAGGATTTAATTCAGACTTGTAAGACGCATGCTTTTCCTTGATAGACACATGCCTAGTTGCTTTGAAGTTGGCATCACCACTCTGAAATATTTGCAAAATTGTTAAGTATATAGTTATAACTTGATTTAAAAACCAACTAAATAGCAAAATTTTATTACCAGTTTACTCATAGGAGGTGATTTATCTCTTGGCCGTTTAGACGCTGCTGAAAAATTAGTGTGAATGGTACTTTCACGTTCGCTTGAATGTCTATTCCTCTTTGTGTCAGGTAACTGAGACACTTTTTCTGCCTGTTTTAAGTCATTTTGTGTGATGTAAGGATTGCGAAAGGTATGGCGGGGAGGAGAAGACTGTTTTTTTAATAAAGACAGTTCTGGCTCGGACGGTGTGGCTGGTAGTTTTCTGGACGAAGCGCCCCTAAGCTCTCTCAATTTGCCACGAAGGGCCTCAACTTCTTTTAGATACTTTTCATGTACTCGGTTCGGAGTCCATTGTTTTGTTGAAATATTATTTCCACACCTTGGGTAGGACCAATAAACGTCTCCATTTCCAATCTTCTCCATCTCTTGCTTGCATGTCTTCCTGCCAGCAGTGCCTTTCTCAGAATCAGCACTCCCTTCGTAATCGAACTCCATTTTTTCCAAGCTGTTGACAAGTCGAGTTTTCTTGTCATTCCTGTTTGAATTTTGTAGCCTAAGGACGTCTGAGTAGGGCCTGTCAGAATATCCGACATTACCGGCTTGGTCTTTGAAACCAGATTTCAACTGGTCTTCACACACTGAACACCACTCTGTGCAAGAGAATCCACACGTCCCGATCCTGTGTTTTAAAGGTGAACTGGGCAAGTTTGTCGTTGAATTGGAACAAGACTTACAGTCTTTGGGATTTGAGATAGTGATCTTCGGAACAATGTAGGGAGATGCCATCCTAACCACTTCTTCTCAAACTCAAGTTAACAATTACCTAAACAAACAAATGTTTTAAATTATTAGTATTTTTTCATACGTGTATGTCTAAAGTAGGATCTGATGGAAGGGAAGTAACATGTTCTTTGTATTCGACCTGAATTAGATGGAAAAAAAAGAAAGAGTAATTGGAATTAAATTGTGTCTCGTAGCCAAATGATTTTCTAGCCATCGAATTCGAATTCGAAAACTATTTTTAGCAGATTTTTTTAAAATTATGAAATATAAGAATAAGTAATGTAATTGTCACTGGACTCCACAAGAGTTTAAGAAATAAATACACTATTGGATAAATGTGCAATGCTGGGACCAATTTTAGAAACAGACCTGAACAACTAAAAACAGTTCTGAAATAAAATAACTAATTTGTATGTATAAAGTAGAAGCTGATGGGAAAGAAATATTTTTTTTTTTAATCTAAACCTGAATTAAGATTTCCAGCCGCAACAGTTTACGCATTGAAACAGTGCTCATTACTGTAAGGTAAAGGTCCCAGATGCGAGTCCAGCGGCCCTGCATTGGAACCTGACAAACTTTTTTTTACATCAGCACCCTGAGGATTCATATAACCTTGTAATTGGGGGAAAAAAAAAAAAAAAAAAAAAAAATCTAACAAATTCATTTGAGATTTACTCGTAGTTTTAAAAGTAAAAACAGTTATAGCAGTGTTTCCCAAACTGTGCGCCGCAGCTGTGCTACAAAGGCATCGCAAAAAATTTTCTATAAAAACTAAACCCCCCTTTAAATAAAACAAAACAACATCCTTTTATATCTTTGCTATTAAGTGTGTAATTGCTACTTAAAAAGTTGTTTTTCAATTTCACAAGAAAGTCGAGTTTTGATTATTTATTAAATAAAATTTCAGACAAAATATTTAGATATATCAATACATTTCTGGATTGGAAATGAATTATTACTACATAAAAGGCACTCTGAGATAGACCAATGTTTTGACTTAGGATGAGATGCTGTGGAAATATTCCGATAGATAAAGGTCGCCGGAAACAATAAAAGTTTGGGAACTATTGAGAGTTATAAAATAACATTATTTTTTCAGTGTTTGGTGTTTAGTGACAACTAATTAATGATTATTTGGAGATCGCACCAGACCGCACCTCATGATCTCCAAGTAATCATTATTTGTCAGTATTTATTTCAGTGCAGTATTTCTCAAGTTGCTAATTTGAGAACGACACGCAGTAAAAATAAAAACAGTTTTAGAATAAAATAACTATTAACAATTTGTATTTCTAAAGTAAAATTGTATTTCTAATTTTTTGCAGACAATCTGACTTTGAAATACGTTAACAGATTGTACACAAGTGAGTACCTAACAAACTAAATTGCGATTTACATATAATAAAAGTAAAAATAGTTCTAGAATAAAATAATAGAATGAACAATTTGTATTTCTAAAGTAGGAGCTGATGGGAGGAAAGTAATATTTTTTACTCAATCTGACTTTGAAATAAGTAATCAGTATAAAGATGAATCTCTGATATGTGACAATGAAACTAATTTCGTATCTACACACAGTGAAAATAAAAACAGTTAAAGAGTAAAATAACAGAATGGACAATTAATAAAAATGATTAACTCAGTATGACTGAAGTAAGTAATCAGATTCTATGAAGATGACTATCTAACAATGAAACAAATTTGAGATCTACACGTAGTAAAAATAAAAACAATTCTAGGACAAAATAACAGAATGAACATTTGTATTTCTAAAGTAGGAGCTAGTGGGAGGAAATAATTTTTTGCAGACTCAATCTGACTTTGAAATAAGTTGTCAGATAGTACAAAGGTGAATATCTAACAAACTAATTTGAGATTTACACATAACACATTTTATTATAAGTAAAAATAGATCTGGAATAAAATAATAGAATGAACAATTTATATTTCTAAAGTAGGAGCTGATGAGAGGAAAGTAATATTAAGACTCAATCTGACTTTGAAATAAGTAATCAGATTGTACAAAGGTGAATATCTAACAAACTAATTTGAGATTTACACATAGCAAAAGTAAATATAGTTCTGGAACAAAATAATAGAATAAACTATTTGTATTTCTAAAGTAGGAGCTGATGGGAGGAAAGTAATATTTTTTACACTCAATCTGACTTTGAAATAAGTAATCAGATAGTATAAAGATGAATCTTTGATATCTGGCAATGAAACTAATTTGAGATCTACACACAGTAAAAATAAAAACAGTTCAAGAATAAAATAACAGAATCGACAATTAATAAAAATGATTAAAAGAAAGGGCAATTTGTATTTCTACAGTAGGAGCTGATGGGAGGAAAGTAATATTTTTTAGGCTCAATCTGACTTTGTAATAAGTTATCAGATTGTACACAGGTGAATATCTAACAAACTAAATTGCGATTTAGACATAGTAAAAGTAAAAATAGGTCTAGAATAAAACAATTGAATGAACATTGTATTTCTAAAGTAGGAGCTGATGGGAGCAAAGTAACATTTTTTAGACTCAATCTGGCTTTGAATAAGTAATCAGATAGTATAAAGATGAATTTATGATATCTGACAAGAAACTAATTTGAGGTCTACAATGGACAATTAATAAAAATGATTAAAAGAAAGGACAATTTTTATTTCTAAAATCGGAGCCGATGGGAGGAAAGTATGTAATATTTTTTTCGACTCTGACTGAAATAAGAAATCAGATTGTATAAAGATGAATATCTGACAATGAAACTAATTTGAGATCTACACATAGTAAAAATAAAAACAGTTCTAGAATAAATAATAGAATAACATTTGTATTTCTAAATTAGGAGCTGATGGGAGCAAAGTAATATTTTTTAGACTCGATCTGAATTAGAAAATAAGTAATTGAACTGTATGAAGGATGAATGTCTGTCACTATAACTTTTTAGGGAGTTCTACCTAATAATACTAAAAACAGTAAATGTCAAAATGAAAAATTTGTTTAAAGTAAGATCTGATGGGAGGAAAATAAGTGTTTTTTTTTATTCCCCTTAGAATGAATTAAAATCAAAAGAGATATTAAGATGCGTCTTGAAAGTGAATGTTAATGCAAATTGTTTGAGTAAAAATGGAAATTGGCATTAATGTTTAACATTGTCTTTTTAAAATGGGGCTGAAATGATATTTTTTGTGCACAATATGAATTTAAAATTAATAATTGGACTGTTTAATGTTTAATACGAATCTTTAGGGTAAAAAGGAAGGAAGGGGTAGAAACTAAGCCTTTATTTCTACAGAGGCGATGAGTGAAGATATTTTGAGACAAAATGAAAGTGTAAAATTTTGTAAGTTTTGACCATTACAAAATTAAACGTACGTTTTTACACAAATGGTAAGAGAATGTATGGGGGGAAGAAATGATTGATAAATACCTCATGTCGGCATGAAAACGTGCGACTTTCAACGTGCTTGACAAAGCTCTATAAAAACGTTTCCACGGCGGGGTGAAAAGTTTGGTGCGATTCGAAATCCCAAGATCGTCGCGGAACGGCTCGACTTCGGAGATAAAGGACGAGAAGAGGCGGGAGAGGCGAAGGAACGACCCTGGCGTAGCTAGGACTGCCGATACCTCTAATCACACTCACGGTAAACATGCTTCCAACGCCTCGTTCGAACCGAGCCCGTATGACATTTTCACGTCGACGCCTCCCTTCGGAGTTATCGGTCGGGGGGAAAAAAAAATAAAAAAATTTGAAAACAAAAGCGGTAAAAAAACGGTACCCTGGATTCACGAAAGCCCTCCGAGTGGGATTTCCGAGTTGTACTGATTATCGAAAAAAAGGCGACAACCAAAAAAAAAGAAAAAAAAAGAAATGTCTTCTAAATATTTTTGGAATTTTGAGACAGTCGAGTTTCAAAGGTCGTATCCTACAAAAAAATTTATTTCGTGTATGGTTTACTGTTTTTTTTTATATTTAAATTTTCTTTAAATTTGGAAGAATGAATAAATTTACAAATTTAATTTTACATATGGATGAAATGAATGAGCACGGGGTCGAAACCGGTGAAGGTTAGCCGAACAAGTCAACAACTCACAGACAACTCGGATTTTTTTTCTTAACCGATTGTCAAAGAAAAACGATAAAAATTATATTTAAAACGTTCCGACAAGCTCCACGAAAAGATGAAGAGGAAGGGAAGAACGGATCTCAACGGATTTGAAGAATGGGTAAAAAAATTCTTCGATCTTATTATTCGACTTAACTTACTGTCTGGTCAAAGAGTTGTACATGTTTAACGATCTTCTGTTCATAACTCAATAAACATTTTGCTGAATAACATGTTTTTTTTTTTTGGTTTTCAAATGCATAATAAAGCACGTACATGTGTGTTTTTACATACACGAAGCAATTATTATTTTCAAGTATAAATTCTTGACGAGTTTTGACCAAGTTGTAAATATTTTTGACGTCATTGTTACAATTTACAACTGCACGTTTATACTTTAGAAGTATAGTTGATAGCGGCTTACACTCAGTAAAAAAAAATTCGAACGACCTACCAATTTGCTCAAAGTAAGAGCTCCAAATTTCTAAGTTATTGGGGACAAAAACATTTTTGTCTTAAGGTAGCTACAGAGTTCAGTATTCACCCAATACCGATTGCTGCCGAATATTTGACAAGTCTCGGGATGCTCGTATTGGTATTCGCTGAATAGCGTGCCTATGTATACACACATGGGTTCGTACAATCAGCCAATGTGTGAGCAAACATCGAATACTCGCCAAGTGCCGTGCGAGTCCTCAACTTACTACCAATCGTGATGGGCAACAGTGAAGCTGCGGTTTGCATAGTGGCTGCAAACTCAGTCAAATCAGTCACAGAGTTCTGTTGCCATCTTACTATTGATCCGTTTCCATGCATCAAAAAACTTTCCAATTTTTGTGATTTATTAAATTATTGGTTCAGCTTGATTGAGGAACTCCAAGGCTGTTATTGGGAGGAAAGTAATATTTTTTAGACTCGATCTGAATTAGAAAATAAGTAATTGGACTGTATGAAGGATGAATTGTCACTGTAACTTTTTAGGGAGTTCTACCTAATAATACTAAAAACAGTAAATGTCAAAATGAAAAATTTGTTTAAAGTAAGATCTGATGGGAGGAAAATAAGTGTTTTTTTTTATTCCCCTTAGAATGAATTAAAATCAAAAGAGATATTAAGATGCGTCTTGAAAGTGAATGTTAATGCAAATTGTTTGAGTAAAAATGGAAATTGGCATTAATGTTTAACATTGTCTTTTTAAAATGGGGCTGAAATGATATTTTTTGTGCACAATATGAATTTAAAATTAATAATTGGACTGTTTAATGTTTAATACGAATCTTTAGGGTAAAAAGGAAGGAAGGGGTAGAAACTAAGCCTTTATTTCTACAGAGGCGATGAGTGAAGATATTTTGAGACAAAATGAAAGTGTAAAATTTTGTAAGTTTTGACCATTACAAAATTAAACGTACGTTTTTACACAAATGGTAAGAGAATGTATGGGGGGAAGAAATGATTGATAAATACCTCATGTCGGCATGAAAACGTGCGACTTTCAACGTGCTTGACAAAGCTCTATAAAAACGTTTCCACGGCGGGGTGAAAAGTTTGGTGCGATTCGAAATCCCAAGATCGTCGCGGAACGGCTCGACTTCGGAGATAAAGGACGAGAAGAGGCGGGAGAGGCGAAGGAACGACCCTGGCGTAGCTAGGACTGCCGATACCTCTAATCACACTCACGGTAAACATGCTTCCAACGCCTCGTTCGAACCGAGCCCGTATGACATTTTCACGTCGACGCCTCCCTTCGGAGTTATCGGTCGGGGGGAAAAAAAAATAAAAAAATTTGAAAACAAAAGCGGTAAAAAAACGGTACCCTGGATTCACGAAAGCCCTCCGAGTGGGATTTCCGAGTTGTACTGATTATCGAAAAAAAGGCGACAACCAAAAAAAAAGAAAAAAAAAGAAATGTCTTCTAAATATTTTTGGAATTTTGAGACAGTCGAGTTTCAAAGGTCGTATCCTACAAAAAAATTTATTTCGTGTATGGTTTACTGTTTTTTTTTATATTTAAATTTTCTTTAAATTTGGAAGAATGAATAAATTTACAAATTTAATTTTACATATGGATGAAATGAATGAGCACGGGGTCGAAACCGGTGAAGGTTAGCCGAACAAGTCAACAACTCACAGACAACTCGGATTTTTTTTCTTAACCGATTGTCAAAGAAAAACGATAAAAATTATATTTAAAACGTTCCGACAAGCTCCACGAAAAGATGAAGAGGAAGGGAAGAACGGATCTCAACGGATTTGAAGAATGGGTAAAAAAATTCTTCGATCTTATTATTCGACTTAACTTACTGTCTGGTCAAAGAGTTGTACATGTTTAACGATCTTCTGTTCATAACTCAATAAACATTTTGCTGAATAACATGTTTTTTTTTTTTGGTTTTCAAATGCATAATAAAGCACGTACATGTGTGTTTTTACATACACGAAGCAATTATTATTTTCAAGTATAAATTCTTGACGAGTTTTGACCAAGTTGTAAATATTTTTGACGTCATTGTTACAATTTACAACTGCACGTTTATACTTTAGAAGTATAGTTGATAGCGGCTTACACTCAGTAAAAAAAAATTCGAACGACCTACCAATTTGCTCAAAGTAAGAGCTCCAAATTTCTAAGTTATTGGGGACAAAAACATTTTTGTCTTAAGGTAGCTACAGAGTTCAGTATTCACCCAATACCGATTGCTGCCGAATATTTGACAAGTCTCGGGATGCTCGTATTGGTATTCGCTGAATAGCGTGCCTATGTATACACACATGGGTTCGTACAATCAGCCAATGTGTGAGCAAACATCGAATACTCGCCAAGTGCCGTGCGAGTCCTCAACTTACTACCAATCGTGATGGGCAACAGTGAAGCTGCGGTTTGCATAGTGGCTGCAAACTCAGTCAAATCAGTCACAGAGTTCTGTTGCCATCTTACTATTGATCCGTTTCCATGCATCAAAAAACTTTCCAATTTTTGTGATTTATTAAATTATTGGTTCAGCTTGATTGAGGAACTCCAAGGCTGTTATGTTGGGCCATTCCATTCTTAACCAACATAAACAATGCTATGTTGTTCTTTCATTAATACAGTAAATGCAGTATATACTTTTGAACCATTTCCACACATTGAAAATCTCCTTCTGATTTTTGTAATTCAGAAGAGAAGCGTTCCAAATTTTTGGTTCAAATCGAGGAACTAAAATACTGTAGTTGGGCCAACATAAATAATGCTTTTGTTCTTACTTTAATACGTCTATACTAATTAGGAATAATTTATTATTAAAAGATAAATAGCAGTAAATAAAAGAAAATAACTGTTGATTGATGATTACAGTTGATTTCCAAATGTTTGGATGCTTTGAGCTCCATCAGTTTTGGGGTGTAAATGCAAATAAATGAAAAATGTGTTTGGAGACTTTTTACTTTGTGTATACCAGGCTCGGCAATTTAAATTATAATTTTTGTTTGGTCCAGTGTTGGTTTCTGGTTGAATTTTCGGTTATTTTATGTATTTGGATTTTTAAAAATTTTATTATTTGTCTCTATACTCCCTTAAACTCAAAAAATTCTTCTGTTGCAATTTATTACGCTTGTCCAAATCATTTTAATTTTACTTCACCGCATGTAATGTTTCTCAAAATAATAGAGCAAATAAAAATATTTGATTGCACAAGGATGATCTGAAATTGGATCATGAGCACATTCATGAATAGACTTAATTTTTAGGCTAAAATCAAAGCATACCGTCAACAAATACTCTGTTATGCCAATACATCCTTAGCATAAATAAAAATACCATAAAAGCTTCATACCTAATGTAACCAAGTATACTAGAAAATAGCTTTATTCCTTATATTCATACAACGGATAAAAATAAAATAATTTTTATCAATAAAAGTAGTAAAATAAAATCTATAAATTTTCACTTTATAATGACAATTAGACCATTGATATTCAGGCATTTGTTTGGATTGTTTTATTTTTATTTTTTTAATTTAATTTTTTATTGTCTATATAATGATGATAATAATTTGGACATCCTATAACATATAATTTTTTTAAAATTTAATATTTGTGATAGAATTAAAACCAGATAATACGCTTTTTAAAAAGATAGTTCCTACTCACAGTTTGTTGTTTTCAATGATCTGGATTTCAAGATTTTCAATCATCAGGTTGCAGGAACGTGATGTGAGCTATAGCTTGAAATCTGCATCGGTGAAAACAACATAGTGTGAGTAGGAACAATCTTTTTAAAAAGATTAAACAACACACTCACTGCACCACTTATCATTTTTGCTGGATAACTACTGTAACGATAAACCGAGAGTTGTGTATTGTGTGAATAAAGGTCATGGTAAATACTTAAATACTCTTAATTTTCTTTCTTTTAATTCTATTTGTACCTAGTCATGCCAAGCTCTTACTGGCCGGCAAGAAAATGTTTAACAATATTAGATCTCTAAAGCATTTACCAAGGCACTTTGTTTTAAAAGCTTTTGAATCGTTGAAAAATTCTTATGTCAAATTATCACAAAAATCAACTATCCAATTGTGCATTGCAGGGAGGGTATATGGAAGCAAAAAAGAACAAGCTTATCGAACAGTTCAATATCGATGGCCAAAAATCAGGACTTAAACAGGATGATTTATTTAAGGATATTTCTATCTTTGTCAATGGTTACACAGGTAAAATGCATTAAGATTACAAATGATTTTTTTGTATTTTAAAATAATATTTTCAGAACCTAGCAGTGATGAGCTAAGGCTACTGATGATGAAGCATGGCGGTACCTATCACCATTATTATCAATCTGGTAAAACAACACACGTTATTGCGTCCAATCTACCAGACAGTAAAATTAAACAAATGAACCAGTTAAAAGTGGTGAAACCAACGTGGATAACAGACAGTATAAAAGCGGGATATATTTTGAAATATCAGGATTATCTTTTACTCACTAATCAATCTAAAACACAGCCCACTCTGACTTTCTGCACCAATGGCAAACAGCCAGATGATACAAAATCAACGAACATAAAATGTACAACCGATGAACACTTCCTCGAGGAATTTTATAGTAAATCGAGACTACATCATATTTCATCATTGGGGTCTATGCTTAAAGAGCATATCTTAAAGCTTAGACTGAAAAAACCTTACACATTTCCCGGTCGGGAGGAGTTGACAGAAAAAGCCAAAGACTTAACAATGAATGATCATGATTGCATTGAGAAGAATGTAATCATGCACATTGATATGGACTGTTTTTTTGTTTCTGTTGGGATTCGTAACAGGCCGGAATTAAAAGGAAAACCAGTTGCAGTAACACATTCCAAAGGGAACTGCCCCAAGCCAAGAGAAGGCATCAATCCTATGCAGGAAGTTGAAGCTTACAGGCAAAAGAAAGGGCTATCTGTCCAAAGTGATCATTGGGTAAACCAGCTGAAAGAGCACGATTCAATGGCAGAAATAGCTTCTTGTAGCTACGAAGCGAGACAAGCTGGAATAAAGAATGGCATGTTTGTAGGCGAAGCTCTTAAACTCTGCCCAAATCTTAATTTTATTAGTTACAATTTTGATGAGTACAAAGAGGTCTCATATATTCTTTACAACACCGTAACAAGGTACAATATTTGTATTAATTAATTCATTATAATTAATCCGATTTTTACAATTTAAGATACTCTTTGGATATTGAAGCAGTAAGTTGTGATGAGATGTATGCTGATTGTTCAGAGTTACTGGATGCAACAGGCCTTACTCCTATGCAGTTTGCAACAGTTCTAAGGACAGAAATAAAGGTTATTATTAAGTGAACAAAACGTTCAATTTAAATTATATATATAAAAAAAATCATTTACTACAGGAGAAAACAGGTTGTCCATGTTCTGTAGGATTTGGTGAAAATAAATTGTTAGCAAGATTAGCAACAAAGAAGGCAAAACCCGATGGCCAATTTCATCTAACAAGTGATCACGTTGAATCCTATCTATCAGATATAGCGGTTTCTGATCTACCAGGTATATAATAAAATACATCACATAAATATTACTTAGAGAAATTATTATAAAAATGGAATTTTTATGGAACCTTACAAGAGAATTTATCAAAATATCACAGCTTAAAATAAAACATAGTTAATGCTGTTAAATGAGTTTGTGGCCTAAACTTTTCTATGATGCTTCATCGTCATTAAAGGGACTGAGAATTCATCGGACAGTGGAATTACATGAAAGAAATGATCGGATAAGTAGGTTTTTAGGATGATATATTATGCATGAAAGGAACTTTCAGCTGTACATCCTGGCACCAGATGCAGTCAAATTCCTGGGAGATTTTAAAAAGACTCAAGGGAACTCCAGATTCTCTGAAAGTTCTGTAAAGAGCACTATAGATTTATTTAAAAATTCAGGGAAAGAAGAGATTCCCTAGAGTTCATGTTTGAGCTAATATTGTATTGGGTTATAATTTTGAATTTAAAAAATTGTACAGTTGATTAAAATAAACTAAAAAAATTAAAGGTTCTAGATTTTAATTTTTTCAATTTTTAATTTTTATTTAGGCGTTGGAAGAACTACATCTTTTAAGCTGAGGGAAAATGGTGTACTTACTTGTGGAGATTTACGCAATATTTCCTTATTCCAGTTACAAAAGGAATTTGGCAATAAGCAAGGAGAAACCCTTTATAAGTCAGTCCTCTATTATAATTTAATTATAAAAGTTAAAATTGACTGTGTATGCGTTTTTATCAGTGCATGTCGAGGAAAAGTGGATAAGGGTTTGGTATTTGATCATGTGAGGAAGTCAGTATCGGCCGATGTCAATTATGGAATAAGATTTACAGATGATCAAGAAAGGGATATCTTTCTAAGAAATTTATCTCAAGAAGTTTCCAATCGGCTTGAAGCAGTTATGATGAAAGGACGTAGTATTACTCTCAAACTAATGGTATTAATTTTAATATTGTTTTCTTCTTCTTTTGTTTAACTAATCTTTTCAATAAGGTGAAATCAAAAGAAGCTCCTGAAGAAACTGCTAAATATCTCGGCCATGGTGTTTGTGACACAGTTACAAAAGGGACAAGCCTATCAATCGCTATATACGATAAAGAAGCAATCTATAGGTACTTTACAATCAAAATAATACAGGGTGGCCCCAATCGATTCAGCCACACTTCCAGATCTTATAGGAAATTGAACGCTGAGTAAAAAAGGTCCTATGAACTGTGTCCGCAAACCCTTCAGTTGCTACAGGCAAAAAACCATGAAAAACCACGTTTTTTTACCTTATTTGTGAAATTGTTAGTAAACTGTTTGCCTGACCGTAAAACAGCTCGAAACAAAATCTCTAGAGGATTAATTTTATTGAAAATTCACAACTTGAACACCCTATCAAAAAATTCTCCGTTACAAAACTCCAAACTCCGCTCACTATCTCACTGGCAATGTAGAAAATTGTCGCTATTTTTCGCTCAAGCTATTGTAATGGTTTTTTTACAATAAATAAAATGTAATGTTCATTAAAAGATGCGTACACTTGTTCTATCTAAAATTGTTAAGTAAGCCATTCAGATTTTTCATACATTATTTCATTCTGTAGGGGGTACCCATCAGAAAACAGTAACATTCGATTTGGGTGAAAAGCAGTAAATTAGCCAAAATTCGAATGTTTCATGAATCAGACTGGGGTTGGTCTAATGTAACGGAGGATTCAACAAACGAGGTTTGTAACGGAGAATTTTTTGATAGGGTGTTCGAGTTGTGAATTTTCGATAAAAATGTCATAAATGGTGAATTTTGTGTACCCCTTCACCTCCTAACTTCGAAAAATTGTCAAAAATTAAATTTTCGGCCGATCAGGATGGTTTTAATCTCATTCGATGCAGAAATTAATCCTCTACAGATGTTGTTTCGAGCTGTTTTACAATCAGGTTAACAGTTTACTAACAATTTCACGAATAAGGTCAAAAAACGTGGTTTTTCATGTTTTTTTTTGCCTGTAGCTCAGAACTGAAGGGTTTGCGGACACAGTTCATAGGACCTTTTTTACTCAGCGTTCAATTTCCTATAAGATCTGGAATTGTGGCTGAATCGATTGGGGCCACCCTGTATAACATATATAGACAGAATGTAGCGGTAAGTTTTTTTGAAAATATTTTTATAGGGAAGTTCAAAAGATTATAAAACCACTTAAAATAAACTCAAAAGATCTTAGAGGTATTGGGATTAAAATCTCATCATTAGAACCAGTAAAAAATGAGGCAAATAATATAATGAGGTTTTTCAATTCAAAAAGCACTACAAAAAATAAGGTATGCTTAACAAAGGACAATTCTTCAGCAGAAACTATTCCGAAGGATATTGACACACAAGAAAATATTTTAAAAGTAAGAATTTTAAACATTTTAATATGACAACATTATTTATTTTGGCATTTTAACAGGATTCGGATCTACAAATCGAAGATAAGAAAAACTGTAATAATCAAACTAAAAATAATATTTGTTCAGGACAAAACAGAACTAACAAGAAAGATTTAACAAAAAGTGGTAATTAGCAAACTCAAAAATTAGTATTATTCAGCAATAATTTCTCTTTTTATATACAGGGGTTAGCAGTTTTGTTTCACCTACTGAAATAAGGGTACTGCTCCAGCAGTGGGTGAACTCAGAAAAGAAACCGAAACAAAAAGACAAACTGATGATAATTGAATATTTTCAGCAGCTTGTGAATAACAGGAGGTTCGAAGAGTTACATGTACTGCTCAAATCTTTTCACAGGTCGGTTTCTTAGAATAATTTAAGGAAAATTTTTATTTATGTCTTTTCCTAATTAAAGGTGCATCTCGAGGTCTGAAAATTTTAAAGATACATGGATATCCGTGTTCACTGATGTATTGGACAGCGTGCAAACTGCAATGGTTTATATCCATAAAAGCAGGTTGAAAATAAATTGTTCTTTACTCAAATGTACATCTCTTCCGGACTGATTTTGAAAGCGTGTGATTTTACTTTAATATCAATTAAATATTACAATTTAATTTTTTTAAACTTTAAACACCAAAAGTCAGTAAGTTAAGATTAAAAAAAAAAAAAAATCGACATTGGTAGTACCTGAAAAATGTGATTCTATTGTTAATAAAATAATAATTATATTGTTAATCAATATTAAAGTGATATTAATTTAACTGTATTATTAATACGGATTTTGGTCAGCTTAACCCCGTTGTGTTGGCCTGTCAGATCCTTTTTGGCATTTCCCTATCTTCAGTGTTTGATGAAATGCTGAAATTTGTCTGACCGACGAACACAGCAAAGAAAAGTAGACCAAAATGATTAAATGACCAAATAAAAGTTAAAAGACCACTTTCTGAAGAAAGGACTATTTGTCACATCATCATTTATTTCAAATACTTATTATATTTGAAAATGTGTGATGTTCAATGGCTGTGATAATGATTAAAAATATTTTGATTGAATTATCTTTCTGTTGTTATTCTACCCTCAATCTGAGGTAAACACTTCTACACCATCCACAGGCCAACTCCACTGAGTGAGTGAACTATTTGATAAAAATGATAGTGTCGTATGTGCGGTATAACCAGAGGACATGGCACAAAGAGTTGAAGATTTTGGCTGCAACTATCACTACTGCCCGAACATGGATTGTAGAACATCTGACTGAAAAAATTAATAATAAAACGGTACCTTACAATTGGACAGTTTATATTAATCTGCTTCTTTATTCTATTGGAAATTATTTTGCATAATAGTCTGTGTCGGCAAACTTCAGTTTATAAATCTCTAGTCAGAAAACACTCGAATCATCTTTGATCACTTTCATTCAGCATACAATTCAAATTATAATCCCCATTAGAAAAATTATCTGGGTCTTGGTTGTATTTGTAATTGAGATGCCACGCCTCTAATCGCCAGTACCGATGGGCAGGGGCGGGAGCGGATTATCTTTTCCGTCTCTTATGATCAGAGCGGGGGAACTCACTCCTGCCTGTCTTTGGTGTATATGTACAGATTATATACTAATAAATTAAACACAAGGAGGGTGTCGGGGCTTTTTTTTTCAAAACACTGCCACGCCAAAAGGGTTGATATTTTGTTGTTGCGAACCTTCATACAAAATGCCCCCCTCCCCCTAAAAAAACTGCAATGGCTAGATTGCCATTAAATGGCTTTTATGTCGTTTTAAGGGGGCAGTGTGGAAAAGAAGTGTTTTGTAATTATGAAGGAATTAATTATTCATCACAAAATTGTTCTTAATGGATTTTCCATAAACTTTGAACTCTACAGCGAACAGTTAGAAAGAATGTACTCGAAATTAAATGAAATTGACACACCGTAGCCCAGCAAATCCATTTATACACTTCCATCGGATTAAACTCTCCTGAGACACCAAGCCCAAGTCTTGCTCTGTCAAATTATTACTTATTTCTACAATAATAAAAATTAGTGTTGGGCAAAAAAGGAAAACTTTTTAAGAATTAGATTAACTTAAGTTCAAAATAAATCCACTTATGTATAATAAAGCGGATTGTTTTTACCTAATAGTTTTGGATTGACTAAGAAACCTGGCTAATATTTAGCTTATTCAGATCAAGATCTGATCTTTAGCAATAATCAAATTTAAAAGAACTGACAAAAGAATGGGCTATTTTCTCAGCTTCCAAACTTTTTCAACGAGTAAGACATTTAAATTTTATCAAAGAGAGGAAAAAAGGTGACGGCGAAAGAACAAAGAACACATTGTTAAATTTTTTATCCATCATGCTGCTGTTTACTCATTTTCTGCACAGTTCATATATGTCCCACCACTTTTCCATACTGAGCATAATAAAAAGCCTTAAAACTTAGTTACATAATTAAAATGCATAGTACTTCTTGTAAACATAACAATGGACAAAATAGTTTAATACTGCACACCCTTTATAACTGTTGGTATGCGACATATAAGTAAAATTTTTTACAACATAATGATTAAATAATATATTACTTTGAGGATCATCACTGGGACCAACATTGAAATAGAAAGCGGTGAAAAAGAAAATATGAATTATGTAAAAATTCCAAGCAACTTATGACATGTACATAAAGCTAACTTAGAAAAACTAAAGAATCTTTTATAATAAAATTGCACTTAAACCCTTGTCCTTAAATATAAATTAAAAACAATCAATAAAAACTTTAAATTTCTTTTCAAATGGAATGCTTCATAATTGGGCCCTAATTATAATTATGCTACAACACAATTACAAACCTAAATTGTTTTAAGTATTCGTATATCGTTCATGTTTTGCACAAAATGCAAAATTCATTGCACACATCTAAACGATTCACATAGATATTAAAATCTAACAAACAAAATTATTTAGCAAACAAATTATATATTAATAACAAATATATGAATATTTACAAAATGACAACAGGCTTTAATTCTGTTTAAAAAAAAGTTAAACTTTATGTACAAATTAATTATTAATCTAAAAATTTAACAAGGTTGAACCTGCAAATCTAAACATGAATTTTATCAATAAACTGATGATAACATATTAATTTAAATTAATATTGTATAAATATATATATATTTTTATTTTTCTTATAAAAAAATAAAATTTATAGAAGATAATAAAATTTTAAAACAACGATGCAATGCATATCTTTGTACCTCTAAAATTTAAATATAATCAAACAAATAAATAATCGGAAACATCTAAAATGTTTGAAATGATATTGTTTATTTTAATAAATTTAATTCGCTTAAACCCGCACACTTAATAATTAAATAAAATGAAAAAAAAATTAATGATGACACGTGTATAACTCATGACACCTTGCATTATTTATGAATGCAATTGACTGGTTTAAATAGTGTCAAGCAAAGAAGAGGAAACAATATCAGTCTAAAAGTGTTTTACTAAAAAATTGTGCCATAGGAACTGAGCACATTAAGTGTACAGCAGCAGATCGCAGTATTGGTCATTTTAATTTTCTTCAACACTGCTTGTTAGCTCAATCTCCACGATGTTGCTCGGAGATTCTGGTCTCGTTTTATTTTTCTGGTTGAAATACACGTACTCGATATTCTGAGGACTATAAGGGCGCTTTGGCGGGGGCCAATTGTCGTCCACAGGGGGGACGACGAAAGCACGAGATCGCTTCCTCACCCTCGGGTTTGTGTAGTCGTGGTCGTGCTGTGATGGTGATGCCCTGAAGTGAAGAAGTTCAGCGAGTTCTGAGAAAATGCCTCCCTCCTCTTCTTCTTCATCGCTGGTCAAGCCATCAAGCGGCGGTTCAAGGAATCCACCTTCAACTTGTTTATGGACTTCCAAAAGCGTCCTTGAACGACCTGAGAAAAACAAACAAAACTGAAGCATATGAACAAAACAATTTGTTCTCAATCATGGCACAAAAGTACTTTGAAAATGTAATATACATCACAGGGCAATTTATTTCTAAAATCAATAATAACAATATACCCTCTATTTTAAGAAAAAGCTCCTACAGATCTATCTAGTGTCTCTATAATAATCTTTTGCGCTTTATTTGAGGTACACAGGTATACGGCTTAATATGTTTTACGCCAAGAGATTAATTAAAAATTGTTTTAAACGCAAGCATTACCTAAAGAGGAAGTTTTGGCATCAGGAATGCTTATATCATTCTGTGATGTGCTTTTGGTGGTGCTTCTCATGTTCGGCGCCATTATGAGAGCAAGGGAAAGGACAAGCACCATAAGACATGTTGCAGGCTGGGCCTGCTGAGGTGTACTCCGCGCTATAACGGCCTGCAGTCTCTTGAGCTGGGCACTCAGACACTGGTTTTCGTTCTGCAAAGCTTTCACCCTTTTCATCAGGTTTGCATTTTCCGCCGAACACTGTTTCACCCTGTAAAAAGAAAATGAAATTTTGTTAGTGCAGAGATTATGCGGTCTTGGAATGGTGTAAGCTGGAAACGGTAAATTTCAAAAGACCATTTGACAAAACTAACTAAAAGATTAGGTCAGACCAGGATAATCACGTAAATATAGCTGTATACAATAAAGAAGTAGATACATGTTGTCTAACATGAAATTTCGGTTCTGTTTAAATGTATAATTAAATTTATTTTTTAACTGTTATAAAAATAATACATTATTATATTTCTACTGTTCTTCATTGACAAAAATAAAGCTTTTTAAATTATATATCATCTTAAGCTTTTTTTTTTATATAAAGCTTAATTGTCTAGTTTACTTCATTTAGGCCCTTGATGTAGCAGTTTTATCCGGGAGGAAAACAGAGTTCGTAGGCCATTCCTTGTGTTGAGAGTGGGACATGACAGTGCGGATCTCACCTGGCGGTTTTGAAACCAAGTCAGTGGGTTGAAGAGACGACACCTCCAATGTTGGTTTTGAAAGCGTTTTTTGTGAAATGGAATCAGCTGTGCCACATGTATCTGTTTTGCATCCAACTAAGCATAAACCATGTTTTTAATTTTGTTATTATATTCATGATTCCTCAATTTTAAGTACAAATTATTGAAGTATCCTTTTTTTTCTGTCTTTTTCCCCCAATCGGGTGAACCAATATTAGACTGTTTTTGTTCTTTTTTTCCATAGATAATACAATATGGACAGCAGAAGTATTTTTTCTTCGTCCATTGCAATAATAAACAATAATACAATATATTGTACTATAACTGACAATATTGTAAAATGACATGAACGAGCTGATGGAGGAATGGTGAAATCAACACGATAACTGATAGTGGAAAAAAAAGCTTTGGTCAAAACCACTCTCTTTTAGTTTTAAAGCCCCGATAGAAACTTATTATTTTTTAGCTACTCTCTATGCTCTGCTTTTTATTGCCCAGTTTGAATACAGCTTAAGAGGATAAAACGTTCTCTTTTCAAAGTCAAAACTACACTGAATGATTAACTGGACAAAGAGAGCTTAGTTTTTTCTAGTTTCTCATTTATTTTATTTTTTAAGTAATGTCGGTTTTCTTTGGTGTGAAAAAAGAAATAGTTGCCTCAACTCTAGAGAAAATGATAAATGAAAAGTATAACATAAAAAGAAGAACATAGGTTGGTTGGTAGCAGCATATATGGTGAAGTAAACTTGCTCGAAGTGGACAGAGTTGGCCAAGTGGTTAGGGTGTCCTACTCATATTGGGTTCGAATGCTGGCAGCGTCGTATTTTTTATTATGTATTGCAGCAAAGAAGTTCATATTTGCAATGAATGTATCTTTTCGATGCAGGAACACAAAATCTGATTGTTTCTCATCACCATACAATTTTTCCCTGGCTTTATTCATTGTACTATTTAAGAAAGTACAGTTTATAGATTTATATGAAGAAAAAAAAATATGATTCCATAAATGGTAGATGACACTTAGGCATTATCTGCAAACCATAATAGTTTGGGAATTACAACTTCCTACCTCCCAGTCAGTTCTCAAACTGATTCTGTGTAGGTATGGAAAAAAAGAGAAGATCCTTTCTATCAGAGAAAAGGTTGAAGTTATAAGTCCATGAGAAAGAGAAAATTAATGTCCATGTGCATAAGCACATTTGTTTGAATGCAACTAATTTTTCACTTTCACTTGAAGTACCTAATTTTTTTTTATATGTAGACACTTCTAATAAACGGTCAAAATCCCATTCTTGAGTGGTGTTCAACTGTATAACAAAATTCAAATAATTATTGGATAAGAGAGATTAGAAATTTCACCCGAATCTTCTTTCAAATAAAGTACTTTTTATTTTCAAAAACTATGTCTTTATTCACTTTCATTTTTCACCAAATTAGATTATTATGTGTATAAATTGTCACGTTCTTTAATAGATTAAAATCTCCTTTTTTTTCTGTTTATTCCTCATTATAGAGATCACGATCAAGGGCATGGTCAAAAAGAATTAGGTCAATAAACTTTCGGCCTTGAGTTTCTTCATTTATACTACTCTCGAGTCCACATAACATGGTCCAACAGAAAGTGGATCCCCCCTCATCAACATGATAATTTTATTGTTTCAGACTGCCTTTTATTTCCATCCCGTAAACTAACGCAATATCATTGTGAAAGCTGCTAATACAAAATAAAAATAATAAAACAAGAAAAAAAATATTTTTTTCTGCCGGACAGCACAATTTCAAGAGATAAATGGGTCAAAATAATTAGCTGAAATAACACAACTGAAAGTAGATTTCCTTAGTAATCAAAAAATTGGAATGATTAAAATTTCTAAAAAATGCGACATTGATCTTAAAGAAATTGGTTGTATTATTTTTTTCCCCTGTGAATAGTAGCAAATTCAGCAGATAGATATTAAGATAAATTTATATTTTATTGATTAAAATAAGGAAATTAAAAGTTAAAATGAAAATGTAGCAAGCAAAATAATAGATTAATTTCTTATATAACCTATTTACAAATTATGCCCATGATGTTTTTAATACGTTGTATTATCAACATACCTGTCTTCCAAGCCGTCAACATACTCCTTCTTCCTTTTCCTTGAATCTTGAGCGGAAATCTTATTCCTGATTTTTCTCCTGATTCGTTTAAGGTCCCGTTCTTCTTGTTTGGTCAAAGGATAGTGGCTAGGTAGTGTTATACCCTCTTTTACCATGAGTCGTTTTTCCTCATCTGTCAATGACAATCCAGTTTAAAATTACACTGTGAAACATTTTTTTTTTTTGGGGGGGGGAGAACATACCAGTCAACTTGAGCCTGGGGTAGATATTGTTGACAGTCTGTTCGCTCTCGTCACCAGTATCATCGCTGGAGCTCCTTGCTTCCTCAAACGAAGGCTCAATTTTGATGCTCTGCGGTTTGGGAACATTCCGTCCAGTTGTCTTTATTATTTTAATGGTTTTTAGGCCATTTCTTCCTTTCACTGGTATGAGAATGGATCTCGGGTTGTTTTGAATCGAAGAAATGTTCAAAATTCGGGATGTGTTCCTTGAGACTGATGGCTTTACTCGGACTACAGGCTTCGATTCAACGATAACTACAAATTAAATTCAATGATGACAATTAACATAAATTACAAGGGCACATTTTTACATAAAATGCTGTTGTTAACTGCCGGATATATTTGTCTTGCTGAATAAAATGATCTGTTGAGACTGACTGTCTACAATTACATTACTTTAACTAACGTCGAAATACAATGTTTAATACAACACTTTTTACAGTATTTAAATGTATTTTAAATATTTACTTTAATTATTTAAACCTTATAGAAAAAAAGTTTGATTGATTAATACAAAATTCAAATAATCCTGGACAAATCAGTCAAACTTGTTATTTTTGTTTTATGTTATGTTTTCTGTTCTTATGTTTATATGTTTTGTCTTTAAGAGGTAAATTATTAAGTAAACAAGTATTTATTTGCTTTACCTTTCAGGGATAATCACATTTTTAAAATTCTAATGGAAAACTGCTCTTATAATTTTTTAACTTCATTTAATAATCAATGACAATTTATTAGGACTTAGGAGTCTTGACACACACCTTCTTCTTTTATTTCTTCTTCTTCTTCATCATCTTCTTCTTTAGTCGGTTCTTCAACTTGTGGAAAACTCGTATTCAAAAGGGCAAGAGGGTCAATGTTCATGTCATTCGAAAGGCTGTTGTCGTGTTCGTCTGTGCTTTCAAAAGATAACGGAGACATCTGTTGATCACTCGAGAGACCTGAGGTGAAACATAAAATAATTAAATAGAATTATAGGAAACCGATAAGCAGGATGGCTCGAAAGGCTTACCGCTGTCTGAACAAACACTCCCGGAGACATTGTTTAGCGGTGGTTGTGTCAAGAGCTCGTCCTCTGGCAACAGGTCCAAATTTTGATTGAAAAGAATTGAATCGAGAAAATCGACACCTGTGTTCTCCCAGTAATCCTGAAAACAAAAATAATATGGTGATTAATTATTAATTAGCTTGATAGAACTCTTAAAATTAAATAAAAAGAAAAAGTAAGTGTGTAGTACATTGTATATTACAAATGATGGTTATCAATATCAAAGATAAAAAATAATTTTGAATCAAACCTTTTTTTGTTTAGAGTTTAGGAATATTTTAATTTTATTTTAAAATGCTATCTTATCAAAAAGATATGGTTAAAATTGTATAAGATTGTGTTTTTATTCAGTCAATCTCAAGGAAATTATTAGAGTAACAAATATTACTGGTTGCAGTAGTTTAAACAATAATTGAATTTCCTCAAGGATAATTGCGACAGACCTTGTACATCAATCCGTGGTAGAAAATATTTACAAACTATACGTGTAAACTCCTGAATGTGCGTAATATTGGGACTGATGTTATTAGACAAATTCAAAACTGTTTACCTTCATGGCTTAAAAAGCACCTTTGTACAATTTATAATCCTACAAATTAACAACAACTTTGAAATAAAATACAAAATTGAATCTACTGGCGATATTACACCAAAAATACGTTATCTTAACTAATTTCAACCAGATTACCTTGAGATTCACCCTTTATGTACATTGTAAAAATTAAGATTATATTTCATATTTATTTATTTTTGTGATACAAAATTAAACAGCACAAAACTAAAAGTAAATTACAATGTCTAATTAAACAGTATAGATAAATAAAAAATATAACAAGGAAATAAAATGTTGAAAATAGACCTTTGGTGTTAGTGAAAGTTGCAAGCTTCCTTCAATAAATGTCGTTCACACTTACAATGCAGGCATTGAATATCCCATTGAGTTAAATGTCACATGAAAAAACTGTCCTTCAACTAGAAACTACGAATATATTTAGTATTGTCAGTACGAGTAAACACGTTTTTTAAATTAATTATTATTTATTTTAATCTACCAGTTATCATAATTGAAACATAACGCAACCAAAATCCATATTTGATTGATTACAACACCTTTATCTACCTTAGTATTTCAAGTTAAAACAATGACTCTTCCAATCTTGCTTTAGAAAATTTGTTCATAAATGCATCATGTTATATAAGGAATTTTAATTCTTTCAAAAATATATCTGTATAATTTATAATCAAATATAAAATGTTTAAAATTTAAATCTGTATCAAACTTGCTTATCCTAAAATCTCAGTCGAACGTGGTTAACTTATATGTACAAACTTTAATCCAGTTAAACATTAAACAATTTTAAGATGGGATTTTAAAATCTAATTAAATTCCAATCACTAACAAAAACATGTTGATGGTATAAAGAACATTATGACTTGCTCCTAGGGAATATTCATTAGCAGAAGTGACCAATGTAGTAGTTATTATTTATTATTTTGTTTTATTATTTTCAAAGAATTTCCTATCTAATGTGGCCTTTCTGTTGTTATTAATCAAGAACAGTCTAATAAAATAAAATTTAATATACAAATGAAGATTAAATTATGTATAAAATGTCACAAATTTATTGAACTTTTATAGTTATGTATTTATAGATGTATATTACACATGACTTTTTAATTGATAATAATATGAAAAGTATATTAAGAGGTTTGATCCCTTGTGTGCAACACCAAATGGATAGGTGGTCGTTAAGCCCTTCTGAATGGCCGGTATTACTTTACTTTAATGTACACTTATAAGGAGTGTGGTAGAATTCTCAGAGCGCATTTTGCACAGTGGGAGTGAACGTTGTTGTGGTAATCTTAGAGTAAATTGAATGACAGGATGGGGTAAAAAGAAAATTATGTTTTGAATTGGAAATAAAATGCATTTATACATTCAGACACAAAACTAACTAATTAAACAAATAAATAATTACAAGTATAATACAAAATAACCACTAACAATAATCAAAATTGATTATCATTGATAAGTAATTAATACAGTAGTTGACCTATCTTTACAGACGTGACATCCTACAGGTCTATAATTTTGACTCCATTAAATGGAGCGAATGGGACAGCTTCCAGAGAACTTCCCTTAGTGAAGTAAAAAGATCCATTCTGTACTACAATCAGTACAGCCCCTACCATAACTGGCTGTCTGTCAAAAGGCTGTGACTCACTCATGGCACAAGTAGCAAAGCTTTCTTCACGTTTTCAACACACCCCATCCTAGTCATCTGATTTCACAAACCAAACCAGCATTCATCTGTGATGAGCACAGCCCCCCCCCACTGTTTAAGTGTCCTAGCGAGATGTTGATTTGGGAATAGTCTCTTGACTACTCTAAGTATCTCCACGTGCAATATTGGAGACTGGGCTCGAAAAGAGACTTCTGGTGCCCCTAAGGTACCTCTGTAGACCATTGGTACACCAGCGGCACTCAGTATTTGGGATATGTAATGAACTCTACGTCCATTCTTGGCCAAGGCATCTGCCCAATGGATATCTTCTCGACTTAAAAACGTGTGTTTAGGAAAACAAAATTAACTCAAATTTATTGTTTCATTTAAAAAAATAAATTAATTAAATAACTCCACAAGTTGGCTCCGGAAAGGATGAACTGATTTTCTTTATTTTTAATCTAAAAAGTGTAACATGATTAGTAACTATAAAGGTAAACAACACGTTATTAATATTGTGTTTAAATTATAAGTCAACTATCAATCTTTATACTTAATTATTATGGATAATAAACAAATAAATACAAGTATCAATTTTTTTTTGTCTGGAGTGTTAATGGTGTAAATCATTGGAAATAACCACTAGGACTTTCTTTTACTTGTCCCGCTTCTAGGCCCTTTAAGGGCTTTGCAGGTGACATTTTGCTTTCCTCTGCCTAGTGGTCGTGGCTCAAATCATTGGAAATAGTGCCAAACTCCTGATGAAGGGCATTTATTCTTCAAAAACTCAAAAAAAAGAACAGTTTTTCTTCCTTTCAAATTCGCCTTATCCTTGCTTTTTTTAAATTTTCAATTATAATATTAAAGATAAAATCTAAAATTGCAAACACAACGAAAACAAAAACTTGAGCGGGTTGAAAAATTATTTATTTAATTATAGAAATACAATAATAAAAATGAAATTACAAAAAAATGTGTTTTTTAACTTTTGCAAAGAAAGAAATTAGTTCACTATAATAGTAATTACTACAATAAATAACTAATTGATTATAAAAAGCAGAAAATTAATTTTTAAAAATTGTGTCAATGGTAAAGGCCTATTATTACTATTATCATTAATGTTGTGTTTATTTTTTAAGTAAACTATTAATCTTTATACTTAATTATTATGGATAATAAACAAATAAATACAAGTATCAACTTTATTTTTGCCTTGAGTGCATTTTTAGCGGTGTAAATCATTAGAAATAGTTCCAAACTCCTGATGAAGGGCATATATTCCTCAAAAACTTGAAAAAAGAACTGTTTTCCTTTCAAATTCACCTTATTCCTTTTTTTTAAATATTCGATTATATGATTTTGTATAGTTCAATTATATAATAGTATTGAAGATAAAATGTAAAATTGCAAATACAACAAAAAAACAAAAACTTGAGTGGGTTGAAACATTATTTATTTAATTATAGAAATGCATTAATAAAAATATAAAAATGTTAATCAGCTTTTAAATAATAATAGTAATGTGTTTATTAAAAATTGTTAATTACCAAAATTTTTTTGTGTATTTCAACTTTTGCAAAGAAAGAAAATCGTCAAAATTCACTTTATTAGTAATTAAAATCAAGGCTGTTCATAACTAATTGATTATAAAAAAAAGCGGAAAATTAATTTTTAAAAATTGTGTCAAAGGTAAAGGCCGGGATATAAATTTGAATGTCGTAAATATAACATTTAAAAGGCTAACAGAGGAACATTTCTCAGTCGAATAAAACACGTCGATCACTTATTAAACCCAAGTGTGGAATAACGGTTCATGACATGCCGAGACTTCGTCCAAGTCCGACCTTGCTTACTCATGGGGACGTCATAGGTGGGTTGATCGTAGAAGCAACGCACGTTTTCGAATTTCAATATGTAAATGAACCACTCTATTAAAAAAATGATAATAACGTGATTTGTCGGTCTTTAATTTGGTCTCTTAAAATAAGCGACCGTGCCTAAAATGAGAGCAATAAATCCATTAGTATACACGTGAAAGTTGTGCAACAGCAGATATGCACACGTCGACAATCATAATTCCCTTTAATCAAGTATAAAATGAAAAATTGTTAATTGCTCGTAAATAAACACAAATGAAAGGAAATCCGGGAAAACATCGAGACACGCTTAATTACTAGGAATTTCGATTTTACGGCGGAGATAATTGGATAGGGGTATTTTTAGAAATGTCACGTTGCAATTTGAAGGGAAAAGAAAATTACAAGGCGTCGATTAGAAATGGGTAGGAGCGATAAAAAAACACCCCACGATCCCAGCGGTATGACAGTTCCGGCGTACCAGTTGGGAAGAATATCATTTCATCAATTGACCACTATGCCCCAACATGGATCAATGAATCCTTTAGCTTTTTACCAAGTGATTCTAAAAGTTGAAAAATTCAAACACGAAAAAAAAATTGACAAAACTTGAATCCTGGTACAATAGATAAATAAACATTAAGTGGTGGAATATCAATGTTAATATCGCTAAGATGTGATAACCAAGATTTTTTTTTCATAAACATTAAAACAAGAACGTTTAATAAAAAGTATTATTTTATCAGCAGAATGATATACAAACTTAATAACAGTAAGTTATTGAAAAGTACTTAATTATGTATCGACATTAATAAACAAATACAAGACGAAAATAATAATAAAATAACACTAACTCAACATCAAATTGTACAATAATCAAAGAAAAGCGATAGCCAATAAGTTTATCTTTAAAAGTTTAAAACAAGAAATTGAACGATCTATGCAACCAAAAACTTTTAAAGATGTTAAATGAAAAAAAAAAGAAAAAATTCTAATAATTATTAAAGCAATTAACTTATTCGACAGTAAAAACTATGGTGTAGAGATGATTTAATCAAAGTTTTGGCATTCCTTGCGTGGTTGTCGAATATACCGATGGTGTCAATTACCTCTAGACTCCAGCCACGTAAGTCAACAAGTTTTTCCTTCAATTCTTCGTCGTCCTTGACAGAAAATATAGACCAATTGGTCAATCATGTCGTATCGAGTAAGTATATTTAATTTGAAAGAAAGTTCGATGCATTTGTACTAGGAGAACAAACAATGATTGTTTGGAGATCGTGAAATGCCGTCTGATGTGACGTAGGCTTCAGAAAAACATTTTCTTTATCGTCGTTTCGAGCTTTATTGAGATCATCTTCAGCTCTCATTGTTTGTTTTTTGTGTAGATGTGTCATTATTGTGTGTCGTGTTGAGAGTGCCAACAATCAATACAGGTACAGAACGGAATAAGACAACAATAAACGAAACGTTAAATTAAGCTTGGTAAAAATTATGTATATATAATAAAAAAAAATTGGTTCATTAATCAGTAAAAGTTTAATTAGGCTAAAATAGATAAAAAATCATGTCAGTCGTATGAGCGTTTACGTTTTTTAGGCTAATTTTTAAACATTAGGACCGTGGCCGTTATTGGTAAATATTAAATGTAATTTGTTCAGAAAATTTGAATGTGTGAATGAGAAAGTACTTTTAGACCATGTGCTTCCAGCGAAAGTCAAAAATGCCCTAATGAACTTCAACAGCAAACAAGATTAAAGCAGATTAAAGACTGTTTCACACAAAAACAAATTTAAAATTGTCCGTCTGCAAAACCGTTTGGTTTATTAATCATTAAGATATTAAAAAGACAATTAAGCAATTGTGTTAGACTTGACTACGGTTACCCAATAGTTAAGGTATCGTTAAAGTTTTAACATGCTTTAAACTTAATGTTGGCCGATGTTATATGCAATTTGTGAAGTTTTTTTCTTATGGGTAAACGAGAAAGCACTTTCAGACCATTTTCGTTGAGTGACAGTTCTTTCATGATCGCAAATGTGAGATAAGACAAAGGATCTAGAAACTTCCTTTTTTCCTTTCAAATAGTTGGGCCTATTTCAGGTCAATGGTAGATTAGAAGCCCTCAGGGGGACTTAACTTTTGAAATCGTGTAGTACGAGTGAATTTCGTTCACTCGAATTTCACCTGAAAGAAATACTAACTAATAACATGTATTTGTAGAAATAATTTTATGACGGTTTATGCTTACTCAAGTGAAATGTCTGAATTAAAATTACGTAGTTATTTTAAAAGTACCTGGTTTTAATTTTGACGTTTTGCAAAAATTGTATATGACCCTAAATAGAAATGAATCCTTTTTTGTTCTTTCTTTAAAAAATTTGAACATATTTAAAGAATTTAAGGCAAGGAAAATTACGTACATGGTTTTATGTTTTTAAAAAGTACCTCAATTTTGGCATTTTTCTAAAATGAAAAAATTACCTATATAGGGATATATCATTTTTTGTTCTACCTTCAAAAGGGTTGAATATATTTGTATAATTTAGAGCAAGGAAAATTCATGAATTATTTGAATTAAAATTGCGAGTTTTTTTAAATACTTGACTTAAATTTTGACGTTTTGCTAAAATCATAAATTGCCTAAATAGGCATCATAATTTTTTGTTCGCCCTTCAAAAAAGGTTGAACATATTAAGAATTTGGAACAAGGAAAGTTCATGAAGTTTTTGATAGTTTCAACTGTAAAATTACGAATTGCTTATTGTAAAAATACTTGACTTAAATTTTGACGTTTTGCTAAAATGATAAAATTGCTTATAGTAAAAATACTTGGCTTAAATTTTGACGTCTTATTAAAATAATAAATTACCTATATAGGGGATTTAATAATTTTTTGTTCTCCCTTCGAACATATAAGCAAAATTTAGGGCAAGGAACGTTGGAAAGATTTTGTTTTTAGAACTGGTATTAACATATGTTTGAGCTATGCTACTATAGCAAAAGGTATATATATATTTGCTCCTGAGAAATATGAAATTCTGTATTAAATAATGAAGAGAAGCCATAGCCAAATATCAAACGTTTTCAGGTAAATTTAGTTATTAACATATTACATGTCGTTAATTACTAACCAAGGAACATCCAATGTACAAAAATTATATATCTTTTCTAAAAATAGGTTGAAGTAGAATTTTTCACGTGGTTGAACCTATTTGCAGTCGTTAATGCAAATATAGGTTTTATTAGCAGTAAAAGTACTGCTCAACCGGAGAAATGGAATGAAAGTTCAGCCCCACGTGCTCACATTCTAACATCAATGTATAACACATAAAACAAACATCTTTTTTTTATCACTTAAACTTCTCCCATTAGTTTTAGTTATAGATTGAAAAAATAAAAAAATAAAATAAAGAGAGATAAAGAAAGCTGGGACCACGAGCACAGAGTGAAAACTTCAACATGCTTGCATTACCTTCGCATAAATATAATACTACCGTTGAAAATACATACATCACGCAAGTTTATATAATAAATACAAAGTCCAATAAGATTTAATTTTTTTTGTATTAATTAAAACATTAAATATACAAAACCAATTTACAACCTAGTTTTCCTCCTTGTTATAGCAAGAAAAATCCTATTGTTAACTAGAAAACTAGACAAATAGGTGAAATCGGATGAAAGTAAGTTCAATATCATGTGCTCTCATTGCAACTAATGTGTCAATATGTCTCTGAAAAAGCACGTCTTACCAAGACCATAAAACAAACATATCAACATAAAAGCAAAATCTACACAAAACCAATTGGAAAAATTCAACAGAAAAGAAAAAACAGATTATTAATACTTAGCTGATTCTACAGCTTTTATGGTTGTCAACACGTGTAACCAATTAATGTATTATTATTACACCTAACGTTTTTTTTCCTGCAGTCGTGATGACAAGAAGTCCTGTTAGGAAGAAAAGTAGTAATTTGTGAACCGAGATGAAAGTAATTTTGAGCCCATGTGCTCCCATCGGAACTTCAATATGTTTCTAATGTAACTTTAGACATACATTCACGATGCTGACATACAGAAAAAAATGCATGCACGGAAGTAATTAAAGTGCAAGTTGTTTTCTTATGTTTTTCTTGAAGCTTTGATAGACAAAAAAAAGAAAAACCAAAAAGCAATATTCAAAAAGAACCTATATATTTAATTTACTACACTAATTTATTATCGGAAATATTATTTTTGTCATGAATTCGTTCTTCGATTTTCTTCGGCAACGAAAATATGTGAATAGAGGGGACCGTTAGTTTATGATCGTTCCGGCTTCATTGGGATCATCATTGGTACTGCGATACCGTTTGTAGTTTGTTGTTTTGATAAGTTAAAACTTTAACAGAATACAATTAATTTATAATAAACGTAATTAGGGATTAATTAGATGAATGTGACGAACTGACGATTACGTTGTTGTTTCCTTGGGGAAAGCCCCACCGTAAGGATCGTTATAAAACATTGGTATTCGAATTTGACTAAAATAAATAAATAAAATATATTTTCTAAAGTGTAATAAATACATGTTTCTGCATGTTATATTTAAAGTTCCTTAAATAATAGGCCAAAGACAAGGCCAGTATTTAATTTCTTTTTTATTATATAAATTATTTCGGTATGGTTTAACAATTAATTAGTTAAATTGTTCGATTTAAAACCAGACTATGATTATTTAGTTAGATAATTCAATCGTACATGCAGCGAGACTTCATTTACGACCGGCTTCCCCATGGGGACTGTCATTGGCATACCAGTTGACAGATGAGTATCACTGGATGCCATGTACAATGTAGTTGAAGTTATTGCTTTTAAAGTGTTTACATATCTTCGGTCGCTGTAATTAAAGGAAGTGCTAATTAAATGTAATTTGTGTTAGAAAGTAGTGTCTATCGTGTAAATCGAGATGAAAGTCTGGCTGGGACCATGTGCTCCCCTATCTTCAATATGGATACAAACAAAAGAAAGATAGAAACGGGTGAAAGGTTTATAAATAGTACAGATCGATAGGCCGGGGACGCTGGGAAAACAATAGAAACTAAAATAACGGGCTACTCACATTGGAATGTTTATCTTCGAGTTTAACATCCTCCGGCCTCAAATCCATTTTGATCTGGTCGTCTTTGTCGAAAAGGATGTCCATCAGGCTGAAATCCGTGATTGCAGACATTTTGGCCCGGCAGGCGGCTCCGGCCGCAGAAAAATCAACCAGAGAAGGTAAGAAGTCGAAGTCAAAAACCCGGACGGAGCTGGGAAGAAAAATAAAACCGAGCCGAATCCGAATACGACTGAAGTCGCTGGTTGATGGAGGGTTCGACCGACGGCCACCCGGTTGTTAGCGGTCCCGGCGACCGGGCGGAACCTATTTTACACAATTTCCGAAAAACAGGCCGTTACCGTTTTTTCCAAGCAGGTCAGTCGTCTATGCCCTATCCGAGATACGGTTCAATATTTTCCAATGCGTTTTTGCCGTTTTGGGACGATGGAAGGCACCAAGACTGGGTTCCACGTCGCAAGTTCCAACGTGGAACTGGCGAAGGGTCGAGCCTGTTTCTGAGTTGTTCCACTTGCTTCAATCGCATTGGTCGGCCTTTTCCCCCCTTTTCTTCCCACTCTCTTGCCTTTCAAATTTGAAATCCGACTGGGTTTTCTGACTTCTGAGCACTTGGGAGTTAGGAACCACGCGGTTTCCTTATCCATTCACCCTCGAATGTAAACGGTGCTTAGAAGTACTCCATCACCAATTGGCTTCTCTCGACCTTATTTGCAATCTGAAATATGAAAGTGATTGAAAACGTACATCGTTCATATGCCATCTCAAAGGAACAAAACATTTTTTTATTTAGGTACAAATGGGGCCTTACATGTACATACACCCTGACAGGCAAAAAATTCCGACCATTTGAAATTTAACTTGATTTGTTTATATTTTTATATATTAATCAAAGTTTCAGGTTTTGTAACGTTTAATAATTGAGTCTTTATCTGAAAAAGTAAAAAATAAATAAATAAATTGCGAAGGATTTAAAAAAACAAAACATTTATTTGATATTTATAACTACAAATATTGTATTAAGCAAATATGTTCATACATGTTGAATCTGTCATTTGAGTCTCTTGTAAAAGTTGCCCAGTGGCAAAACTCCTTCACACTTAAGGACTCTCTTGTCAATCTTCCCTCTATGAGAAGGTCTCGGGTCCACTTTCGTCTCAATCGTCTTGGGGGACTTTCAGGTAGGGTTGGAAGTGATAAATGTCGTACTAAAGGATTATTGTGTGTGATTATTGATTGATGAAATTTTTGATAGCAGGTTTTGATGTGTTCATGTACAACGGGATGTGTAGGTCGTTATGAATAGTGTAATTTGAAAGGTAAAAAGTAGCATTTATAATTTGACGGAGAATTTTAGACGGTGGGAATCCTTGGAGCCCCGCACTTCACAACCGTACGCCCAGAGAGGTCTAATCATTAAAAGTTTGTTTTCGATATCTAATTTTGATCGTGGGTCAAGTAGTCTTTTTAATAATTCATAACGTCGGTTTAGTTAAGGAAAATGAAAAAAAAAAGACAGATTAAATTTGTTTTAGATTTTTAATTAACATTTGAATATTGCGTATTTCTTCCCCTTGCCTTAATAACATCTCAAAGCGCCTCGGCATACTTTCTACCAGTCTGGAAACTTCTTTGCTGGAGGTTAGCTCATTCTTCACAAGAGTCCTTTCAAGATCGTGGAGTGTATAAGGATGTGATGGACGTACTCTCATTTGTCTTTTGAGGTTATATCTTAAATGTTCGATGGGGTTCAAGTCTGGAGAACGGGCTGGCCAGGCTAAGACCGTGATGTTATGCTGTCGAAGGTAAGTTTGTACTATGCGAGCGACATGTGGGCGGGCATTATTATGCATTAGAATAGGATTGTCGCTGATTCATCGAGGATAGGCAACGCACGATGTTCCAAAATTTTATCCACATAGCGGGTGGCTGTCCACGAACAACAACCAACTCTGTGCGACTCTCCGTTGAAATTCCTGCCCACACCATCACTGTGGTACGTTGAAAAGGCTGGCTCTGGGAAAAATTACAGGCTTCGTACCTTTCATTTCGCCTTCTCCACACCCTTTCACGCCCAACTGAAGATCGTAGAGCAAATCTACACTCATCTGTAAAACATACAGCAGACCAATCGTCCAAAGACCGATGGCTGTGTTCTCGAGCAAATGCGAGCCGTGCAACTCTTGTGTGTCCTGGTCAATTCTGGTCCTCTGGTCAGTCCATACTGATTTAATCTTCTTCGATCAGTGTGTTCAGAAATTTTAATACTTCGAACTTCCTGGAGCTGATGAATCGCTTGAACAACAATAAGGTGCCGGTTTCGCAGTTTTCAAAGTCAAAAAACGGTCATTCTAGGGTTCTGTCACCCTAGGGCCTTTTACGGTAGGACCCAGTTTCTCGAAAACGTCTACCGGCGTTTGGCAGTTTTTCGTAGGGAACTCCTATGGCATTAGCCGCATACCTGATGGAACGTCCATCATCAATAAGCGTCACACCACGTGCAACATCCTCAGCACTAAATGGCATGTTTCAGTTTAAAACTTGAAATTAAGAAAACAAAGATGAAAACTAAAAGTTTAAATCCATTATGTTTAGTCGTCTAATTGACCAAATTACTTCTTTGAATTAATTATTTTTTTATGTAAGGTTTCGGTTGAAATGAAAAGTTAGAGTCATGAGTGGGATTCGAACCAACGACCTTCGGCTCAATACGCCGCTGCTCTACCACTTGAGCTATCGTGACTTCGATCCACTCGACACCAACTCCCCCTCTCAACCTACAATCTTTGAAATTGACCCTCTTTTTTGTCATTTGCCAACGATCTGAAAAAAATTACGTTTAGCGTAGAACTCTAGATAATAACGGAGATTGCACAATAGACCAATATTGGTCGCAGTGCGGACGTCGTAAAGAGGTCAACTCCTTTTAACCTTAACTCTTAACCTTACACCGTTCATAAGACATTCAAGCAGATCACACCGACCTGAAATCCAATTGTTGGCTTAATCCCACAGACGTAAAACAATACTTAAAGTGAAATTGGTCGGTACCGATCATTTGGTCTTGTTATGCTCAATGGGTTTTGAAATTTGTTTGTGTGCTCTTTATCATACATCTCATCTTTATACAGCTAAAGGTTTTTCTTAAATAAAATTACTAGTTTTTCCAATCTAATTTGTTTTAACTGTATTATGACGGTGGTGTTGCTTTTCTCTCTGCTCTTATGCTGAATAACTCATTTTTTCTTAGTTTGCAATTTAGTTTTTTAATGAGATTTTGGCCTGTGTTGACCCCTGTGAGGATAGGCAGACCAAAATGATAGGTAACGACCAAATTTCAGGTTCATCACTCCGCAGACAACACGTAAAAATCTGACTGCACTTAAAATAATAATTAAACATTAAAACCGATCAGTTAGAAAGAAAAACTCATTCTAGTTTTATCGGAAGGAACAGGTTGTTTTCTTCCATAATTGGTCTCATCCCTGATAGTTTATATATATAATTAATCATATATATATTGGGTTGTCCGGAAAATAATGCAGGATTTTGGTATTAAACAAAAAAAAAAGAAACTAGTTACTTTAAAGCAATGTTCTTTAATCAAAATAATTTCCCATACTCTCAATACATTTCTCCCAACGTGTGGNGAATCGGACCATGGACAATATGAACTTTTTTGTTCATTTTAGGGTGAAGAATCTACTGGAGAAGTTTGTAGCACGAGTAGCAATTCACCCTGTATATATATATATATAATTGATCACTGATAGTATCGGAAATAAAATCTGGCACTGAACAAACATAAAATATGAATGACCGGTAATTTTAGCGCATTTTTGCCATTCTTCTTAAAACCATTTATTTAGTTTTAAATTTACAACACCAAAAAAGTTGCTTAATTTGGCTGCAGTATCGGAAAAAATAATTATTAGGAAATGCGAGAAGGAAATAGATAACAAAAAAAAAATTGATCGACATATATTCTTAATACTATTGTTGCTAATTTTTATATAAGGAGGTCCCTTTTAATTTATGTGAAAAAATTCGTTATCATATCCTTAAAAATTTGTCCCTTTCAATTAACAAAAATAAAGCTTTTAATATTTAATTATGTCCAACTGTTAGTAAAAAAAGATCAAAGTACACTTGCGCTAATAAGTCGTTATTTTGTCGGTATTCTTTTTCTCGGAAAAGTCAACTTAAATAAGCATGAATACAATTAAAAAGTGCCGCAAGTCCACATGGTTACCACATGGTTTTGACGTGGATCTCCACGAAAGGGCCTACCAAGCTTTCACGAGAAAGCGCAAATCGCACAAAATATTTTGCTACTTCAAGACGGTTGGAACTTTTTAATCGACGTTCAAGATTTATTATAATCAATTATTGCTCAATATCCTAATATTGTCGATGAATGCACTTTTTCTTTTAATATCGTGAAACTGGATTATAACTGCTTATAGATAATAAATTCCGTTAAATATCGATAGCATAAATATAAATAGTAAATAATATTGAAGATTAAATTAAATGTCTTTCAATTTACACTACATAGAATAAAAATACAAAGAAATCAACTTTACGTTTGAATACGATATTTATTGCTTTTCAATACGATTCTTTCTTTATGATTATCAAATAAATAAATTAATTAAAAAAAATTACTCTTGAAATTTGGATAAAATCCGACAGCATGACTACACGCTCCCTGTAAGGAACCAATGCATATTAACTTTCTATTTCGGGGGACACATCGAGCAACCTTTTTCTGCACAAGGAGCACCTGCGTGGGTTTTGGCCACTATTTTGTCAACTATTTTAAAACATGAGACTTCATACAAATCGCCCAGACTGAAGATAAAAGCGCCTGACGGTCTAATTTAGTTTAGGCAGGCCAAAATGGTCCGTAACGAACAAATTTCATGAGTAACAATATTCTGTTCCTTAACTCCGGATTAATCGATAAAACAGTTTGTTTTTTAGTTGTTTTTATTTCAATTTTATGGTACGCACGTCATCAGCATGAGATCATCAATCTTACGCTACCGCCATCATAAATATTGCTTAAACTTTGTCGCATAATTTCTATGAGCTTAGATTAAAAATATGTTACCGGCCACGGCGATCAATTAATTTGAACAATTAACACATTAATAATCGAAAATGAAAAAAAAATTATCTCATCTATTATATAACTCATTATCTTAATTACTAGGCTTTTTATTGCCGATTCTATCCCACGTAGAAATATTATTTATCATTTGCCCTTTTATTAGTAAACATTTTGAAAATATTTTTCCCAATATAAAATCTCAGAAAACTATTAGATATTTTTATCAGTACAGTTAACTGTTTAAAAAAATAGGACCAGAATATTATCAGTATTGTTTAAAAAAAAAAAAACAGCCCGATTCTTATTTATTTATTTATTTTTAGAGAAAAGATAGCTTGCGGGTTAAGATAGTTTGCCTGAAACTTGGAAGAGCCAATCAATTTCTATTTTCCAATGATTGACAATATCGCCGGGAAATTATGGGAAAATGCATTTGGAGATCTTTCTGGATTTTCCAATATATTCTGGGATTATCAAGTATTTTATTTGCTGATATAGAAAGGATGGGTCATCCAATGGAATTAGAAGTTGAGAAATTTTGTTACAATAATTTCGAAGTTTACTAGGCTTGAAACCAAAGGTGAATCTTGTGCATTGTTGACAATAGCTTGAAGGTCCTGACGAAGGGGATATATTTCTCGAAAGCCGGTTCTTCAATATAAAATTATAAATAATAATAAATTAAAATTACTAATTTGTATAGATACTAGTTTTTATGAAAATAAAGGACATGAAACTAATCAAGTCTAATGCTTGGCATTAGTTATTAAGTAAAATAAATAAAACAGTTTTTTCTGTGGAGATGATAACAATGCAAGTGCAGAAATCAATGTTCAAACCAATTAACAAAAAACATATAACAATTTCATTAAAAGAATATTCGGATAAATTGTTTGGTTGTTTTTAATAGTATTTTCATGAGAAATGGAAGGAAAATAATTTTTTTAAATGTTGAGAACGCGAAGAAAAAATCCAGAAATCCATAACAGACTGAGGATTTCGTGTTTTCAATGTACTTTGTGGCAGTGAAAATCATTATCGCTTTTTTTTCAGCGAAATTTATTTGAGAACGTATTAATACTTTGGACTTACATTTTCTTTTATTTGTCAAAGAAACGTACAGTTCTTTAAAAAGTATATTGATAAATTAGAGGAAAGGCTTTAGAGACGACGACGAAAATTCCTTAGAAATCGAAAACAAATTAACTTCAATTAATATTTAGTATAAATTGAAAAATCAAGCGAAAATATTTTCCATTTTGTAAGAATCACTAGAAAATGGGGACCCATATGAAGAAGGTAAAGCTGTAATATTATGAAGCTATAATGCATTTCCAAAATTAGTTGGATATTCTACTAACTATGTTTTTGTAGAGTTAATTTTGCGAATGATTGGTCTTTTTCTGTTGTCTTTAGTACCTTGAAATCTTGTAAATTCGCCAAAAACACAATTCACAGACCAAAACAGAGAAGATAAGCAGAAAATATAATTTTATTATGTATTTAGGTAAAATATAAAAAGAAATATATATGTTTCAGCTTGTATGTAAAGTTTTTGAACAGAAAATAATTAAATCAAATTTTGTGATATTTTGTTGAGGTCTGCTGGCGAACAAAATGTAAACAACAGTAAATCCGAAGATAGGATGAATAAACCGCAAAAATATTTCTTTACGATATTATTCATAAGTTTACAAAAAATGTAAATACAATATTTTAAATATTTAACCTATATCTACCTTGATGCTAATAAACGTTCGTACAAAATATGTACACATACCATCGCTCATACAAAGAAATAGAATGTGTCTTATATTAATTTACTCCGTATCGTATATCCGTGTAGAGTCCAAACCGAAAGAACAAGTTGAATATTTTACAGATGAAAAATAGAAAACGAAGATAACCACGAAAAGTCAAACTTAAATTCTCAAGTCTATCTGGTCAAAGCACACAAATTCAAAACCAAATTTATATTGATAAGTTTATCAATAATTTCTTGGAAATGTTTGCTTTTACAAGAGATTTAATAAAAGCTTTTCTCAATTTGTTAACAATTTATATCTATGTTAAAAGAATTTGTCTTATTGTTATACCATATTCACGTTTATTGAATGAAAAACAATAAAGATAGGCAGAAAATATCATTTTATTGTGCATTTAGATAAAATATATTGAAAAGCAAAGTTATATGTCAAGTTTTTGGAAGAATTAATTATATTAAATTGTGTTATATTTTGATCAAGTCTGATGGTGAACAAATCCTGAAAACATCACTGAATGCCAAATAAAACGAAAGAACTACAAAACTATTTCTAAACAATTTAGTTTACCAAAAACGTTAAACATAATTATTTCATACTGATAATATTTTAAATATTTAACCTACCTTGATGGTAATAAAAATTTATACAAAATGTTGACTCACACCCTCACTCACGCGTACAATAAATAGAAAGAATCTATATAAATTAACTCAACATATATAAAGTGAAAAAGGAAGTTAAAATATTTTCCAGCTTAAACAGACCAAAACGAAGATAGCCATGAAAAGTCAAACTTAAAATCTCAAATCTGTCTTATCAAAGCACACAACTACAAAACCAAAAGTATATTGATAAATTTATCAATAATTTCCGCGAAATATTTGTTTTTTCAAGAGATTTAATAAAAGCCTTTCTCAGTTTGTTTACAATTTATATTTATGTTCAAAAAATTCGTCTTATTGTTTACCATCTTCACCATTTATTGAACGAACACATAAAATATTTTTTTAAAATGAGAACTTTCGAGTACAAGATTTGTTAAAAAAACAAGAATATATAATATTTTTTAACATTTCGACAATTGTGAGATTTCTCTGTGCAGTCTGCAGTGATGAACCTGTAGTTTGGTCTTTGCCGATCATTCTGATCTGCCAATCCTCGCTGTGTTGGTTTGTTAGACGCGTTTCGGTATTCGTCATGTTCAATTCTTTCTTTATTTATTATTAATCAATTAATTTATTTATATAAGGCCAATTCTATACATATAAAGAAATAAGTCTATAACTTCTGGTAGCAAACCTTGAGAATGATTCGGGTTTTGGCAGTCTTGGGACAGACCTCGGTTTTATTGTCTTTTCAATTCCCAAACGCATGCTGTTTTTAAGGTTAAATACACTCATAATTCTCATTCATTATTATTACATTCTTTCCTGTTTACATACTATTCACTTAAATACTGTGGTGGAGTATTGTGTACCTCATCGACCCTCTTACCCTATACAATCACGCTAATAAATACATTCAAACTCAAGCTTACAAAATGAAACACATAAACGAGATATCTACTATATATAATAAAACAGCCCTGTTTCCCTTAAAACCGGAACAGAGGAACCAAATACCCTCCCGTGCTCGAAGCACGATTTTCATATTTTGCATTTTGAACGTAAGCAGAAGGTATTAGAATTCTTTTTTTTTTAGAAATATATTTTTCGCTGTCATGAAATTAAACTTTTTATCTTTTATCTCACCTTTTCTTCTCACAAGGCCTGACTTCACCATTATTGAAAACCATTGCCAAAACAAACAATCAGCAATTATAATATACAGGAGTCTTATGAGAAAATGACATTTCAAGAAGCATTAAGTACTTATGAACTTTAACGGAAATTATTTCACTTTTAAAAATTACTTCTAATTGAAAAATTAAAAAAATAAAAAATCCGTTGTTCCCCTTTTTCTGTTAATGAGTTTGAATTGAATATTATTGAAAAATATTGTCAGAGTAAACAAAATAACAATAAAATTTTCTAACATTTTCTCTGAAAAGGGACTTGCTTACAGAAACTATTTAATTAATAATTTTTAAGTTTCTTACCGTTTCAAAAGGCATTTCCCTTCTTACACTACGCTGAATTCCATTGTCTTATGGTCCCCAGTCGAAAGTGCGTTCAGCTCCCGATAAGAAAATGTAAAAGGGTCAGAGATAATCTCATTTTTGCTGTTTTCATTGTAATGGATAAAATTCTCCTTTTTGTATTTCCACGGTCCGCCCTCGCGTATGAATACAAAACAAGTCGTGATGTGATATTTTGACGGAAAGCTGACAAAATCCTTCTAAATTACCATCCCGCTGATGTATAATTACCCTGGTTTTATCTTATCTCTTTTAAAACGCATATATTTGTATTTATTAACATGCGGGCTGAGGTGTACAAAAATTATCTTTCATGTTTCGTTATGATTACGTTTGACCTATCCAACAAGCATTTCCGTTTAAATGCATAATCTAGAAGGATATAACAAAACAATGGGGGCCCTAACATTTTCTCTGAACAGGAAATTGATTACAGAAACTATTTAATTCAATAAGCCTTTATACCTCTATATATACATGGTTTCTATTTTGTACTCTATTGTTTACTTATTCAGTGTTTACCTTCTGTTTCATTCTTTTAATAGCCCTCTCATCTTTCTCTCTCTCACTCACACATATACACCTCTCTTTTTCTCTCTCTCTCTCTCTCTCTCTCTCTCTCGTTTGATGAAAGAGTGGTCAAATTAGACCAAATTCTGCGACTATAAATACAACGTTATTCTCTCTCTCTCTTTCTCTCTCTCTCTCTCTCTCTCTCACTCCCTTCCTCCCCTCTCACACAACCACTCGGTCGCACACTCGCTCACTCTCTTTTCTTTCTCTTTCTGTTTTTGTGTCTGTTTTTTGTGTTCATGTTTGTGTGCCGTGTCAATATTTTGTACTTCGTTTTGGTCCGTTTTTCATCTGTAAAATTTTTAAATTGTTCTTTCAGTTTGAACTCTGTACATTAAGTCAATAAATATAGACTCATTCTGTTTCTTTGTATGAGCGATGGTGTGTGTAAATATTTTGTACGAACGTTTATTAGCATCAAGGTAAATATAGATTAAATCTTTAAAATTTTATCGCCATGAAATGCATTTTTTATACTTTTGAGTGATGCTGTGTGTCAATATTTTATACAAACGTTTATTAGCATCAAGGTAGATATAGGTTAAATATTTAAAATATTTTCGTTATGAAATGATTTTTTTAAAAACATTTTTTGTAAACTGATGAACAACATCGTAAAGAAATATTTCTGCAGTTTGTTCGTTTTATCTTGGGATTTACTGTTGTTTTCAGGGTTCGTTCGCCAGCAGACCTCAACACAATATCACAAAATTTAATTACTTTTCCGTTCAAAAACTGTACATAGCTGGAACATACATGTTTTTAGTTATATTTTAGCTAAATTCATAATAAAATGATATTTTATGCCCATCTTCATTGTTTTGGACTGTCAAACGTTTGGGATTTTTGCCATCTTCAGTAGCTGGTCTGTGTCTTACTTTGTGAATTATGTCTTTGATGAGTACAAGAGTTGAAGGTAGTTAAACAAAAGATCAACCGTTCACAAAACTAATTCTACAAAAACATCGTGTATAGAATATCCAACTAATTTGGGAGAATGCATTATAAATTATAATATTATAGCTTTAACTTCTTCATATGGGCCTCAGTTTTCTCTGTTTCTTATAAAATGGGAAATATTTTCGCTTGATCTTTCAATTTATACTAAACGTTAAGTGAATTTAATATAATTTCTTCGATTTTTGAGGAATTTTCGTATATATTTTGGCTAAATATATAATAAAATGATATTTTCTGCCCATCTTCATTGTTTTGGTCTGTCAAGTTTGGTGTTTTCGCCATCTTCAGTAGTTGGTCTGTGCTTGTTTTGCAAATTACGTCTCTGGTGAGTTAACAAAATTTGAAGGGCTGTACGAAAAAAAAGGATGTACGTACTAAAAATAACAAATCCCTTATCGAAAGCTTCTGAGACAAATCATTTGACAAAACTGACTCAATAAAACATTCTGTATGATAACTATAATATTGACCCCAGATTTCTTGGGTTTCTTAGAAGCTGGAAAGCTGTTTTAAATCTTAAAAGATATTTATCCTGATCTTTCAGTTTGTATTAAATATTACTTGAATTTGATATAGATTTTTTTACATTTTTCAGATATTTTCTTTGTCGTCTCCAGAACCTTTCATGTATCATTTATCAGTAATTTTTTACAACGAATATGTGTTTTTGTACTTGCCTAATAAAAGTGCAGAAGTATTTTTATTTATTCCTGAATTTGGCCGAAAATAGACAATATAATTTTCTACTGCATAAAGCATCAAATCCTCAGTCTGTTATGTATTTCTGCAAATTTTTTCATGTACTCAACGTTTTTGAAAAAATGAAAAGGATTTTCCTCCCATTTCTCATGAAAATATTAACAGAAACAAGCAAGCGTTTTACGTTTCATAGCCTAATCTACAAATAAATATTTAGTTTCTGTGCGTTTTTAATATAATTAAAAAAATTAATTATCATTCATATTCAACTAACCATTGGACAAGGAAGGGAAAGTTGAAATAAAACTTACACTGCATAAATTCAAGTAAATTCGCAATATAAAGTCGTATGTTGCATCGGCCAACTTTCATTTCTTCTTCGAAACCGGTAAACCAGTGATTTTTCTTTGGAAAATTAAAAAAAAAAAACTGGAAGTAATAATCGAGCCATGCTGTCCATTTTCCAGTTTGGGTGGAGAAAGTGAACATCAAGTCAACGAGGCTGATCACATTTGTACCCTTGCCATTTTATTACCCTTTCTCGTCAAAACTGGAACTGACAAAACTGTTGTATAAAATCGTCGGATTTTTTTTTTTTTGTTGGGGGGGGGGTGATTGTTTTGTACCTAACTGTTCACTAATTTTCTGTTAAATATGACGACTTTCACAATCAAACAAAATTTGTCCTAAAATTATCAGTAAAGATTCTTGAAAATAGCTGATTTTAAATTAATAAGATTATATTTTGAATTTCATTTAAAAGAAAATAATGATCAGACACAAAAACTGAGAGCTTCTCATTTTGGACTACATTTTTGATGCATTGATTATAACGAATCTCAAAATAATTATTTTATAATTCAGAAAATATCGAAAGCCTTCGTTTCTGTTATTATATTTGCTATTGTATAGGAAAAATGAATTAATTATTTGAATATTATATTGGTCTGCGTGCCGTGTGTAGCGAACCGATGCAAATGAGGATCGAAGCTGGAGGGAGACACGCTTTGGAATTTTTTTTTCTTTTCTCATAAACTAGCCTCTTCCCATCGTTCCCAAAACTGGAAGAACTACTACCGTCCACCCTAAAAAGACGTCTTTCGGAAATATTCTTCACGTTTAGAAGGTTTCCGACCTTTTTATAACTCGTGGGGTGGAAACGGAAAGAAAATTTACAATAGACATACAAAGATGCTAATAATTTATGCTCGTAGATTCTATAAAATGGTAATAATTTTGAAAAGTTTATTTCTTTTGATAGATATACAAAAAAGGACTCTTTCTTTACCTGGGAAATCACAATGATAAAATATATAAATTCAAGTTTCATACGTGTATTAACAATTTACTGCCCATGTTTGAATTTTATTGACGTAGTAAGAAAACACTTTTCTTTCCCTGGGGTTTGGTTACAACCTGTAAAGTGTAAGTATCGCTGTTTAAATTTTTAAATAATTTTCATGTTTGCACTCGACGTTCTACTACAAAATTTGGCCTGAACATGCATTTATAAATTCTAAAAGATTTGGTGAAATAGTTTTATCAACTTTTAGATATTTAGTAGACTAATTTGTGTGAAAGCACACCGTTAAAAAATATAAGGTATGGAAAACTTTAAACAACACAGACGGAAGAAATTCTTCAGCAACCTGTTCACCAAATTAGGTACTGCTAAATATATTGTGTCTTCGCTAAAAACGGTTAAAACTCAAAAGAAAGCTGAATTGAGACTGAATCTTATTTAAAAAAAACTTATTTAGAAATTAAACAAGATGTTAAAATAGTACAGGATAATAATTTATTGAAAAGTGAAAACCAACAACTAAAGATTGCCAAATCAAGCATTTTATAAGATGTAGTGATAATACAGGCAATTTTCCAAATCTAGGAAAACAAAAATTATTCACCATTTACGAAAATATCCAGTAAATCTAGTACAGTCCAAAATAGTCCACAGCATTTAAATTTAACCGTTCGAAAATTAAAAATCCTAAATACCAACGAACATTTATCATTAATTTCAGCAGAAACTGATAAAATTGCTTTGCTTCGTTTCGTTAAGAATAAACAATATGTGTAAGTTACAATTAATTAAGGTTTTTAGTTGAGATAAAATATGGCACGAGCGGGATTCGAACCAAGTCAAGCGGACCACGAAATATTACACAATTTAATATGTGTAAGTTTATATTCAGAAAATTTTGTAGTCGGCAAACAATCTACATAAATATATTTCTGAATTCTTGCTACAGGATCAGCTCAACTCTTCAAAGAAACAAGAATGTTGAAGTGAAATAACAAGTTTGTATATGTGTGGGTGAGGAATAGAAAATTTGTTATTAAAAAACTGAAAGTTCTCAAGTAAAATAGAAAGAAAAACAACCAACATGAAAAATGTATACTGTCTTAAAAGCAAAAGAGAATACAGAAAATGAAGATCTTATGCAAGAAAGCACCCACCAATGCACTTCAACCAAGATTTGTAAGAAGAGTAAACAAAAGTTTTTTATCTCAACTAAAAACCTTAATTAATTGAATGATATTAAACGGTCAAGCGGACCACTAAACTAGTGAATTTAGGAAGTAAACAAAAGACTGGTGGTGGAAGATTTTTTCATTTTTCATTCCTCAGGTCAACAAGGAAAGTGATGAAGGCTTTTCTTGAAAATAGGAAAACGTCCTCATTCTCTTTTGGAATTTAAATGGCTACAAAACTTTGGAATTGGGTGATAATGCATCCATTTTTAAAAGCATTAGTATATCGATTTTTCCTAAACTAGGTTAACAACAAGAAATCCACCTCTCGCTTTCTAAAACATAGTTATCTTCAAGTTCCTGATGAAAAGAAAAAAAAT